GTGAAAAAGTTGTTATCGGTTGCCATGGTAATACTGTGAAGTCGTTCGACGTTGGTCACTTTCCAACCAACTTCATCATGTCGCTTTTTAAATAAAAAAATTTATAAAAAATTTTACTCTCATATTATTTTCAAAAGAAGTGTTAATTCAAAAAATTCAAAAAAGAGAATGAAAATATAAACACATCTGACGGTAGGATACTCGTAATGTAACCTCCAAACATAAATAAGCCAATATCAGTATTTATATGACAATTATGAAATATGCGTTATTTGAGTATGTGATATTCGCATTCAGCAGAATGTGATATCATGAATCTTATAACGCTGTACCCATGCTAGGGACGATACGATGCGGCGTATCGATATTCAGATCATGCGATACTCCTCGATATATCGTATTCCTGCAAAAGTATCGGAATGACGTATCACATTCTTCATTAATAATAGTATATTTGTTTTAATTTTCACTCATGTTGTATGAGTTAAAATTAAAAATTAAAGTTTGTAGAAAAAGTACGGAAAGTTCGTCACCGCTGCGCTTTGGGGATCGAACCCACGTCTTCGGCATTCGCGGCCTGATGCTTTAGCCACTAAGCTAAACGGCTGATTGCCATACCGGCGAAAATCTTAATGTCTTTAATCTACATTGTTAAATTTCATATAACATATTTAGAAAAAATGGCTGTTAGATAGCATTGTACAAAAAATTGCTTCTCAACGCTTGTTGTCTTCAGCCGGACCCATAGTTTCAGAAAATCGTAACAGGTTTAATGATAATTTTCGAGTTCAAAAGAAAATAGGCCAAGTGCGAGTCGGACTCCGTGTATACGGATTCCGTACCAATATATTATAGTGGCAACAAAAATACATCATTGATGAAAATTTTAACTGTCTAACTATCACGGTTCATGAGATACAGCCTGGTGACAGACTAACAGACAGACAGCGGAGTCTTAGTAATAAGGTCCATTTTTACCCTTAGGGTACGGAACCTTAAAAATGTTATATTTTAAAATATTACTTCAATGAATAATTGATTGTGATATAAAGTTATATAGTAGCAATAAATTCTATAATGACGTATGAAGAGGACATTATACTCTGTGATATAATTTATATTGCACGCCATAATGAAAATCCGGCTTAAAGCGTACGTTCGTATGAATAGAAACGAATTGGCACTTTGCATTATAACTGCATGGACAGCGCCAACAACGATGCAACTCGGCTTTGATTTCACTCAAGGCCAACATACTAATTCCGTCATGCGCTTGCATAATCTCACAAAACCTATTTGCGTTCTGCAAAGCGCTATTTTTAAAACATCGCCATTTTGAAACTTTCGGACGCCGCCATGTTTGTTTGGCGCGTAATAAATTTCCAATCTGTATTACTTATCTGCCGCACCTGGGCTCTTTCAAAACTTTGAGAGAAAAACCACTTCCGTCTAAATAATTTTCAATATGTTTGCATATCAACAATTTATTGATGTAATTGTAAACATTGGAATGTAACATTTTATCATATAATTTAGGAAAATTCAAAGTTACTAAAGTATCATATTTAACTGTTATTGACCATTGTTAAAGGTTTTTTAATGCGTGAAATCTAAACAATACAAGATATAGAATACGATAAAGCATTTTTAAAATGTCACTGCAACAAATAAATACATAAATAGTTCATTCCGGAAATGAGGTAAACACTACGCTGTTTTTACATGTGTGTAGAATAAAGTGTGGTACACACTGGAAATTCACACTGACAATCAGAATACATAAAATAAACTCTACTACTTTCGTTCTAACGTCTACGAATTGGAAGCCCCGATATTAGTTTGGTTTTACGTTCGCCGCTAGGGTTGCCAATAACTAAAATCAGCCACGATTTTAGTATTCATAAAAATAGATACTTATATATAACTAGAACTTACTTGAATGATTAAAACGATGCATCCACGACTGCATTCAGTTTTAAAGTAAATAAGACACATTAATATATAAATTCCAGCATAGTTCATCTTTTAGAGGGCAGTTGGCTGCTGTTGCAGAATTTATGGCCGTATAATTCAATCTTATGCCAACATTGCGTAAAGTTATATAACGAAGTACTACGTATATATTTACATGTAATATACTTACATGTAATTGTTATTACTCACACCGTTACAGATTTAGCTGGGCTGTGATTAAACGTTAAGGAAAGAAAATAATTGTCGAAATTGTTCAACGACTTATTATTGAATTTTAATCAATATTCAGTTCATCTTCAGTTCTTTCTACAGCAAAATTTCATAGCTTCTGAACTGTAAACCGTAATATTCAAGATAATGCGTTATTATGAGTTAAAATTTTTAAATTTTTAATTACTTTTTTAATTACTTTAAATTTAACTGTATACTTTAAAAATAAAACTATGTTGCATCGAAAGCGCGGCAAAATGAGATAGACACGTAGTTACTCACAGGTTATGATACGTTTCTAAAGAGTAAACAGATAAAAAATATGTAACGTCTTCACACAGGGCCATTTATAACTGTGTCATAAAATAATGCATAAAATACAAGGCCGATGGCAGGCTTTAATTAAATGTCTTGCACATCGTGAGTTTTTGCTTACAACTTCCACGTCTTTTATTTAATAACGGATAAGTCTGTCAAGGATAACTGCTGTAGTTTGCGTTCCGAAATTGAAAATACAAAGTGTTACATGCCGTTTAACATTGCACGGTTGCGATTTCAAAGCAGTTCAGAAACAGACGATAAAAGTATGCACTGGCGCGCATTTGAATCAGTTCAAGAGCAAAGAAACAGTTCTTAGACGAATGACGATTGTTTATTGGTCAATGAATGCTTGTTTTACGAGTAAACTATAATAAGGAATCCGGTACACGAGAATTATTGTTATGATATGTTTACTCTTGGAATAACGCGTTGGTGTAATAAATCAGGAAAACTTACTGCCCAGCCTGATTTATTAATTATATATGATACAAATTATAAATAAATTAATGTAGGATCTCTACTAATATTATCGCTAAACTCACTCCTCTTATGCTTTGAGTACTTTTTAAAAAATTCTTTCCGAAAGTTCATCATTGTTTTTCGTATGACAAGTCCACTTAAGTGTATAATTTATTCGTATTTAAAAACATAAAATATCTTACAACAGAATATCTGATATGCAGTGCAGTTTCCAGCCTTTATCTTTATCAAGGACCTCTAATACTTTACTGCATGTGAAATAATTGTAAATACATAAAAATAATTGACAATTGTTTCATAATTATTCAAACCAACATTAAACCCTTTATAAAACCTGTTCCTAATAATATTCAGACACAAATTATACATTGAAGAAAGTATAGTTGGTGTGTGGGCATCCTTAAATAACTTCCGTCCAACAATCCGCTAGCAACACAGATGCTTGTGTTGACGTTTGTCGTTCCTCGCAACCTTGGCAATGATGGCGGCATCACTAATGTGTGGCCAGAGAATGCGCGGCGGATTTTAAAGCTAATAACTATTTATTAGCGTTTCAAATACGAAATCAGCACAGTTTTGTCAGTGCCGTTATGCTTGTTGCTAAACATAAATTACTTGTGTAGTTTTATATTTTATGGATATTTTAAATTTAAGTGTAGTGACAATTACTACTTTCTAGTTGAAGATTCATAATGAGGTAAGGCCACGCTGCAGTTTCTGCTCTAGTAGGAATGGGTAGGCTCGTCCTTGGAAGGACTGCGGCCTGACAGCAGACCATCGTAAAATAGTAGAACGTTCGCGTTTCATCTGGTGACTGAGGTAACTACTGAATAACCACTTTTTTAAAGTTTGATAATATCTGCAACTCCTAAAGTGTTGTAGGTGCCCATAGGCGGCCGTAATCCCTTTGTCATTTTAATGTTACTTTATTTTAACGTCCTTTATTTTAATCACTTAACATCATGAAGCTGCCTCTTTGTTTGACAACTTTTCACATAAAAAAAAATGTCTTTTGAAATCAATAATCACGTAGAGAATATAATATAACTTCATTCATCTAATGGAATAGTTCAAGTTAACTATATCAAACAATCAATCAGCCTTTTGCAGTCCACCGCTGGACATGGCCTCCCCAAGGGCACGGAACAGAGTACGGTCTTCCACTTTCCTCATCCAGCCACTACCAGCGACCTTCCTCAGGTCATCGGTTCACCTGGCAGGGGGACGTCCGACACTACGTTTTCCGAGACATGGTCTCCATTCGAGAATCTGTCTACTCCAACGCTCATCGGTTCTACGACAGATGTGGCCAGCCCACTGCCACTTCAGCTTGCCGCATTTATAGACTCTATCCACGACTTTGGTCCTATGCCGGAGGATTTCGTTTCTGATTTCATCCCTTAGCGAAATAGCGAGCATAGATATCTCCTAGCTCGCTGAGCGACGTGTAATCGGTGGGCCAGAATCACCGTCACTATACAAATGTCTATAAATGTGCTTCAACATTTTTGTTAATGAAATTAATTTATGCTAGTATTTAAATCTTTTTATCGACACGCCGCTGTGATCATGGCCCTATCGAATGAGGTCATCTATCAAGACACTATTCTATTTAAAATAAATTTTACTAAATATCGATTCCTTTCGCAAAAGTTAATTTTATATCGTTACGAATTACGATATTAACACGGTATCAAAATCGATGAAAGTACCGTATCATAATACAAAAGTAGCGTTCGGTAATGTAACATTTACTTTACTTTCCACGCTTAGAATACAGTATTATAAATAGTATATAGAATTTGTTCTTTCTGTATTACAGAAAATACTATAACGCTATGCGTAGTAAAAATTTTACTCTCATCATTTTTTTTGAACACGCCAAAAGAACTATAACTTAAAAAAATGACTATCGATAGATGTAATGTATGTTTCCTACTTCGACGAAAAAATGATTCGATTTGACTTCATCGGTTTCGCTCAAAGCTAAGTTAAATGTTGTTCGTTCGCCTCAGCCAGTTTCCTGTCGAGCGAAATTCGAGAGCCGCCTGAAGAAGATAGAGTACGACGCACACCGGGCGGCCAGCTTCAACGGCGAGAACCACCACAAGTTCCTCCTCGGCCACATGATCGTCTTCAGGATGCATCTGAACAAGGTGCGGTTCCGTATACATTATTTTTAAATGGTACGAGACTTTTGCAAGCAGTTTCTGTAAATGTTTCTGTTTTACTTTTGCAATTTTTAGTGGAGCGGTGGGGAAAAAGGCGATGAGAAAACCGACTTATATCAGAATAATAAAAAATTGTGTGTGTAACCTTTATACGCTATTGAAGTAAAACTAAACAAGAATCTTTAAAATAATTAATATTAATTTAATTGGGGATATTTATTTGTTTTCTCGTATGGTATCAAAATAGACATAAATAAGTATATTAAATAAATATTATAAATAAAAATATGTAGATATATTGTATATAATATATAAATAAATTGGACCCAACCACACGGAAGCCCTCGACAGGGGAGACCAATCAAACGGTCGAGGGTTAGGGCGAAAGGGAGAGAAACCGGCTGACGATGCGTAACGAGGAGCACCGCCTTCTGCATTTGAGCTTGGAGCGATCCGTCCCGGAGTCCCAGTCGCCTCAGATGTTTAATTTATTATTAATGTATTATATTAATTAATAAGAAGTTTTTTTTTTAATTTATAGTTTAGATAATATGTACATGCAAACAGTGTAAACATTTAAAAATCGGATGCTATATAAACGTAGCATCTCGGTAAAGCGTTCGTTGCATTGTCGTCGTCCAAAGCATTCAGTTAACTCTTATTAGCGCATTAAGAAGTCTTACTTCAATTATTTCAAAAATATTTCGATAAATTGAATGTCTTCAGACAGACAGGTTTCATGCCTAACCAATGAGTGTCGAGACACGAGCTTGCAAGAGAGCTCCATGGCCGCATTTTCCGATCAACGGAGCATAGTGAATGAATTGTTCTTGTTCCCATGGGAATAGCTCATATATATTAAATAGCGATGTACACTATAAGAACAACTAAAATCAGTATCAAAATATCTGTTACAAACTACAATCAGTCAAAGTTTTTCATCACTAACATTGTGTAATTTAAATTAAATAATGACCATTATATAGATATATAGAGGTTAAAGGATAATTTCATTTAGAGGTTAAAGGATAATTTCATTTAGTTATTTTAACACTAAATACCAATTTATTTAGGGGATTTGTCTAGAGGAAAGGAGATAGAAAATAAGTTATTTATTTCTGTTTTTTTTTTTTTTTTCATTTCAGAGCGAAGATTACATTAATAAGTGCGATAAAATAATCAAAGACTGCGGCATCCCCTGTGAGGTGAGTATAGATTAACTTCAGGTCTCCAATAGCGTCTTTAATATAATAATATAATAAACAAGCCGGCTAAGTGTGAGTCGGACTCGCACACGAAGGGTTTTGTATCATTATCTATAAAATCGGCAAAAAAATATATCATGTCTGTTTTATGGGAGCCCCACTTAAATATTTCTTATTCTATTTTTAATGTCTTGTTATAGCGGCTATAGAAATACATCATTTGTGAAAGTTTCAACTGCCTAACTATCACGGTTCATAAAATGCAGCCTGGTGACAGACGGATAGACAGGCAAACAGATACTGAAGTCTTAGTAACAGGGACCCGTTTAACTCTTTGGGTACGGAACCCTAGATATATTTCGGCCTCAAATTCTTTTTTACTAAAAAGAGTTTTCCATATTGCAGACAACACCACGAATAACAAGATGGCGCCGCCTCGCTTTGGACGAAATCAACAGAGTCCGTGACGACATTCAACATTCGAGACGATCCTACCGCGACTTGCTGGTGCACGCCAAAAGGCGCCTCAACCATGTCAGAAAGCACGCCAACCTACGAGCCTTTGCGGCCGTGCAAGAGCTAAACGATTGTGTTCGAACTGGTCGAAATCAAACCAAATGACAAATAAAAATCAGTCACAGATAACATAAATAATTTTGCCGCTATTTCAGTATTGTATTTTTACCTTTATGTAGGTATTAAAAATTGTAAGTCAAACTTGCACGTATTCTCCAGGGTAAATAGTTTTGTGATTGACTTTTATAATGTTACTAGCGGAACCAACAGACGTTGTCCTGTACACACGACTGTAATTCGACAACAACTTATAATAAAAATAAATATAAAAAAAAATGTAGTGGATCGAATTATTAATCTAAACCATTCTCGAATCGACCTGAAGTCACACAAAAAATGCATTAAAATAGGTCTAGCCGTTTAGGAGGAAATCAGTGATATACTCACGTACAGAAGAATTATATATTTAAAGATTGGCCATAAATAAATTACTTTATTCGGTTCTAAAGTTATATATTATGAAAAAGTAACGTATTTTGTTGTTTACGAATTACGGATTATTTAAATGAACTTAGCTTTGCATTTTACCGTTTGGACTGGGAAAGTGTATATCGTTTTAGAATAATTTCTATTTAAAATTCTTTGTGGGGCTTGATTTCGCTAATTGTATGAGAAAATTTTATACCATGTGTTGAAATTATAGAATAACTTGTGATAGTATATGGTTAGATGCGTTTTCTTGTGATGTTCCAATTGGCTGAATGAAATTCATAATCTTAAGAGTGAAAATAAATTATTAAAAAAAAACATTTAAGTAAGCGAGACATAATTTATTGTTACCGTACTAATATTTGTTTAATTTTAAATTAAACTTATAATTATTTTCTCTCATTAAATAACAAATAATACACTGAAATAATGGACAAAAAATGTTTTTTATGTATGTAAAATTTAATGAGTTCTGTATGTAATATTTCGCGCCTTCATTTAAATGTAATACTGTACTATGTTTTGTAATTTAATGTTTTATTTTCATCGTAACATATGTAGTGTTTGTATTTATGTTAATAATCTGAAAGAAAAAATAATTGAGATGTGTAAAAATGTTACATAAAATCTTAAGTAGACAAATATGTACTTAGACCCACTGTGATAGTCATAATTTAAATTATTGCAAGATATAACACATAGTTGTAAGTCGAAAATCGATAGTACAATTTGATGAATTTAACGAATCATTATGTTGTTGTTTAAATATTATGTTGTAATAAGTATTTTGTAATAAACGAATAACATTTCTGAAAAAAAATAGTTTTGTTTCGAATCAGCATATAGCTTACTAGCTGTTAACCGCGGCTTCGCCCGCGCGGCCAAAGGGATGGAACAATGAGTTTTTGTTTCTTATTATACACCAGAATATGTCGCAGAATTTTTTCCTAATTAGTTGACATTTATCATTACCTATATTTTGGAGAATTCACACAATATCTTTATCATTTATAGCCTATGTCTTATTCTGATGTCTAAGTTATATTATTGTAAAGCTTCATTAAAATCCATTCAGTAGTATTTGCGTGCAAGAGTAACAAACATCCATCCATACATACAAACTTTCGCCTTTATAATATTAGTAAGGATTCTATTACCTTGTATTTTTTACGTTTTATATTATCTTTAGGCAAATGGAAATTTCGTCATCATCATTTCAGCTCGTTTTACTGCTGAACTTAGGTCTCTCACATATTCTGCCACGAAGCACGGTCCTGAGCCACCTGCATCCATCGACTTTCCGTTTGCTTATTTACTCACTCCATTTAGTGCGCCGCCCGATATGATACTTCTTCCCCATCTGTTATCATCATTCACATCATATATCATTGTCACTTCAGCCAGTTCATGGCCAGGTTCACCCGATTAAGTAATAACCGCTGCACATGGACATTTGCAACACCCGTAGGGTTGCAGAAGCGTTGCCATCTTTAAATAAAGTGGGCCCCGGCTACCTCAGTCACCAGAAGAAACGCAGAAGTGTAACACTTCGACTTTACGCCGGTCTTCTGTGAGGTCGTGGTACTTATCGGGACGGACCTGCCCATTCGTGCAACAGTGAACACCATTGCGTGGCCCTGCCACAGTAAAACATACTCTTGAGGTCATTGAGCATAATACGAAGGTCTTGCAGCGATTCTGCAGTGATGACCATTACAATGGAACATTGCTGGGCTACTGGCAAAAAAAGAAGTTACAGTAACACGCAATTAAAAAGTACTTTTATATGACCGATTTTTTAAACACCTAATTTTTAACTAAAATTTTACAACGGCTTATCTCATGTACATTCAGTTTAGGTACTTACTAGTTTCGGAGAATCCGGGGGCCTTCATCAGACTGGGGCGTGCGCAATACATACGTAGGGCCAACAGCTTCTAGAAGCATCTAATGTGCCGGTAAACGTCCCCCGAGTAACGTCTTCATCGGCCAAGTCGAGTAAGAGGAGAGATGGTAAAAGAACCAAACTAGAAAAGTCTCGAAAACACTACACACACAAGTATGGCAAACATTCAACTTGCGGACTAGCCTTGCCTACATGCTACGTAGTCCTTTTGTACATGTATGCAATGTCCAAAAGGACTACGTGGACTAGGGTAGTCAGAAGCGAGAATAACACTGCAGTTTCTTGCCGGTTCTTCTCTGGACAGGTCTAATTCAGTGACCCGATGGTAGCTTTTTTACGTCCAATAAGAGCTTAAAACAAGGCTATATTGAATGAAGAAATTTAGAGTTTGACTTTGAACAGAATGTTATAAATTAAAGGTTAGCACCTGCAAAGACTGGTGTCACGAATCTTCTTGAAAGACTGTAATCTCTATCTTCCCATATAAAACATGCGGTATTAATCGCATATTGTAACAAAGACTGGCGAGATGTAAAAATTGCTATTAATTAATAAAGCCAATGAATGTTAAAATTAAAAGATTCTTTTCCTGCATGAATAAATAAATATTTTCATGACATATTTTTTTTGCACAACGTTCTCTAGTCCCAAATTACGCAACGCTTGTACTATGGGTACTAGAAAACTGATAGACATACTTAAACATGCTTTTCTTTTGTAAATAAATACACATTATACATAAATAAACACCCAGACGCTAGAAAAACGCTATGCTCATCACACAATATTTTTCCAGTAGTGGGGGTCGAAACCACACCCTCTGGCGCAGAAGGCTACACTACCGACTACGCCATTCGGGTCGTCAAATACATATTATTAAAAAAATACATATTATAGATACAGGCCCAGAGACTGGAAAAACATGCTCTTCGCACAATAGTCTACCTGTGGTGGGATCGAACCCACACCCTACTGCTCAAGAGACGCTCACTGTCCACTACGCAATCAGATTGACATGTTTAACAAATGCTCTCTACTGCTTGCGTTCATATGCAATTCTAATACGTAAACAGGCTAATTAAATCCTCTATGTCTATCGGAGATCAACTGCAGGTTATCAATGTACCGGTGTACGGACAGCAGAATACTGAGAAATATTGATACTAACATCTGTAATAGACGTGACGAAACCTGTATATTATAGAAATCATAACAAAAAAATATTACAAACATATGTGAAATCAGCCAATCTGCAGTGGGGTCTGGTGGTGGACCTAATACCCACAGTAGCGAGGAGGCCTTTGCCCAGCAGTGGGAATTACCTAGGCTGTTACTTAACTTACGAAAAACAATATAAATCGCAGAAAAATCTTTATATTGCGTCTCACCTACTGTGTCAATTAATACATTATTTTGCTTACCGTACCTTGTTCTTGACTCCTAAGCCACGATACAGTTTATAGTAAGCTTGGATAAGTTCTATAGTTGGATATTTGACAATGTGTCCGTATGTTTATTGTGTTTTGTTATTTCTCTGTCTACGCCTGTTTGCGGTTCAAAGTGAGGTGAGATATAGTAGCCGAAAATAAAGTTATTTCATGAGTTGTGTATCGTATTATACAAAGAAGGATGAGAAGTTGATAGCAGAATGGCAGCCGTATACTAATCGTTAGCCGTTAACAAATCTTTATTAATTTCTTTTCATTAAAATAAGACGTTTAAATATTTTTAATATAATTATAAAGAAATACTTTTATTAAAGTTTTCTGAAAGTAATATATGTCACATGTTTAAGCGAGTGCCTAATATAAGTATCCTATTTATCGATCACGGATGGCAATGGCACTGTTTACTGAAATATTCGGCTGATTTTCATAGTCACCGTTGATTGAACAGGCAATAAAGTTTAATTATACAAGCTTATGCTTTTTATAATACAAAAAGATTATGGCAGTATCAAAAGGCATGTCCTTGCATAAGGCTGGAATTATTGGATACTTGAAATACAGTACATAGACTATATTTTATACAGTTAAGCAAGTACAAAGTCATCGTCAGTTTTTTTTTCTCAAAACCTATGTGTTTCCGCCTATTAGTTACTTAGTACTGAAAAAGCGCGTGCCCCAATAAATTATATACAAATACGAGGTAGATATGACACTAGCGCACCAAAACTGAGGCACTCAAATTACGCCAATTGGTGTAACGACTTTGTAACTTTGTAACTCTATAGACTGCTATCACTTTCCCTATCGTCATATAATGTATCATCATATCGTCATATAATGTGCTAAGCGGAACAATTTTTAAACGCCACGCAGTACGGACATGCGTCATCTTTATTGAAACATCAATGGCCTGGGCCAGGCCATTGATGTTTTAATATTGTGAACCAATAACAATTTGGTATTTTATTGGGAAACATACGTAGACACACGAAAAACATAGATCACACTTGCAATATCAAGATGAAATTTGCATCGGAGCCAGATGAAAATGACGCCGATGTTTTTCCAGCCACCGCTCGACGTAAAGGGAATCCTGCGTCAGTGCCAGAGCAATATAAACTCATCAATCGCTTTGGATAAGAACGACAGGCTGCTGATGACAAACTGGACAGCCGAGTTCCAAGTGAAGCAGGTCAACATAACCGCACACTACCGGCTAGAGATGGCTAAGCACAGAGAGCATAGTTTTAAGAAAGTGCGCTTGAATACTAAGGTAGGTATGTCAAGTTATTAAAAATTTTACTAAACAATTTTATTAATATCTATCAGCGGAATCGAGATCTGAGGGTTCCGTATAAACGTATGTATTTTATACGATTGGTAACGTAAAGAAACAGCATATATATGTCCCACTGTTGGTTAAAAGCCTCCTTTGTACAGAGGTATTAGGGCGTACGGAGGTCCACCAGGCGACACCACTGCCGATTGGCGGACTTCACATATCTCCGTAGTTTTTTGGTATTATTTCGAAAATATGCAGGTAATAATTGTATATGCCAAAATAATAATCAACGCAACCGGTAAATGTTACAGTGGAACGAATGTTTAAGACTTCACAACAGGGAAATAAGAAAAACGAAGGTTACATATTTCGAGGCAGAGGCAGAGTGTCTCAAAGTGGCCAACTCTGGCGACAAGGAGAAAAGGAGGGCGGTCAGCCAAGTCGAAAAAGAGGTATGGTATTTAATCAACACGTTAACGTCTTTCACTAGGGCGAAATAATATAATTACTGGAAAACTTCAATAATTGCATTAAAAAGAGAAATGTTATTAAAGGCAAAGCTGTTTTTATCTTTATGCTTTGTGGTTACAATTTGTAATTCACGAACAATTTTATATTTTAAATGATTACAGTGGATATGATTCGGAATAAGATTTTACGACTTTTCCATAATTATGCTTTTCTTACTCAATTTAATCTATCATATTTATAATTTGGTCCATATTTTATTTTTTACAATTAGGTTTTTTTTCTACTTCTATAATATTCTTTTATATTATCCAATTCTGTAATATTTGTCAGCGCTGAAAGCTAGTAGTAAAAATTACACACAAAAACTAGAACAAGTTTTTGTCTGTAATTTTTACCCCTTTTTGTTGAAGTCTTGCCATTTGTTAAAATAGTCACAGTAAGATAATATTAGATGTTAGAAGTTATTTGCATTTACTTCTTATGGTTATCTCGTTTGTTTATATATGTTGCGTTTAGAAACGTAGTGGCGTTCCTTAGAATCGGTTTCTTCTGTATTATGATTTCAGATCAAAAAATGGCGGAAGAGTTACAAGTATCTGTCAAAGCTGTGCGATGTCAATAACCCGGGCGATGCAGATGGCGCGGAAAGTTGCTTGGCTCAATACGTAAGTTTTAAGACGGGCTGTATGATTAGCTTTGTTTGTTTTATTTTACTGGCTCCTAATCCTAATGGCGAGTTCTGACGCGGCAATAGTTAACGTACTAAATAACGTGTTTCAAATAAAAATAGAAACGTCAATGACTTCAAATGACCGCGATCTGTCCTTTTGAAAAGTACGCTTGCAAAGAAAATTAGCTATATGCTATTGTATTATACCATTTTATTTTTTTATGTGAAAAGTTGCTAAGCGAGCAGTCGGTTCACCTGATGTTAAGTGAATACCGCCGCCCATGGACATCTGCTACACCCGAGGGTTGCAGATGCGTTGACAGTCTTTTGAAAATTGGGCTCCGGCTACCTCACTCACCAGACGAAACGCAAAATTATTATAATCCCACTTTACGCCGGTCTTCTGTGAGGTCGTGGTACTTACCCGGACCAGCCTGCAACAGCCGAGGCTGCTGCTACCACAAATAAAACTTTTAATATAAACACAGGTAGTAAAATGCTTTTGTCTTTTAAATAACAGTCGGTTATATTATAAAGGATGCAAATATCAGATGTTTTGGTTTGACCTTTATCATCATTCCTTTAAGATAAAAAACGACAACTACGACTCGACCTTCGAGAGGCTGATAATCCTGAAGCTTGACGCCATGTCGGAGCTGCTGCTGCAGATGGACACCTGTCTCGTGCAGCTGGAGAACTGCCTGAGGATGTGCCTCACGGGCCACTTGACCAGCATCAGGGGTGTCATGGAAAACTTGGGGCAGTGTTACGGACGCAATTGACATATTTGATTTCCAGTTTATGCGTTCCCTATGTATAGACCCCAAAACATTCTTTTTTGATGAAATCTCAAATTCAGGCAATCTGCACATTTAAAAAAAATACTTCTCGATTTTTATTTACGCGTATTGTAAATGTTAACTTCGAGATCGCTTATTTATATGTATTTGATGAACAATATAATACAATGAAAAGTAAGAAATATTTTGTAGCAGTTAATATGGAATAGAAGGTGAAATTTTATTCTTATCAATTCAAAATCTCTTAGATTAATTTTATTTTTCTATAACATGTAGTCAAACTCAATGTCTGATTGATGAAAAATGTATATGTAAAGGAATATGTCGCTCCGCGATACATGCTTGCCTAGTGAGGAGGCAATGCCTATTTAGAAAAATAGAGTCAAATAGGCAAAATTAAAATTGCATATTAAATAACACCTGATCGACGGCGATGGGAATAAAAACACAAAGATGTACTCGAAAATCGTATATTTGATACTAATTCGTTGTTTTAAATACTTTAATAGAAAAAAAAATATGTATACCAAAATATTTACATTTTAATCTTAGATGACTTTTAATAATACCTCCTTAGTAACAACTTAATGGTTAAATATAATTTTGTACAATTTACACAAATACTATGGCAATGTGGTAATACGAGGAAATACTTCAAGACAGTAAAGATATTACATAAATTTTGCGCTTAAACACCCACATAAAAATATTTCGAAAACATTTGTAAAAATTCCCTGAAAGTTATAGGTTCATAATTTTTCTAACCATCCTTCATACATAAATTAAGGGCGGAGAACGGCATAATGTTCATGGGAAATTATATTTACTAAATAACAACTACTTGTCTTAGTTTCGTCGATAAAATTATTTTATTTAGTGCAAGTCTTTGCACCTAAGATAAACCCTTAAAATTTGAAGAAAAAAGAACGGACGAAGACTTTTGCCGCTGCGGGAATCGAACCCACGGTGACGTGACGGAAACGAGAAAAAATATTGTGGATAAAAGACTGGTAATCAGTTGTTTAGCTTTGGCTAAAGCGTCTAGCTTAGTGGCTAAAGCGTCTTAAAATAATCCAGAAGACGCGGACTCGATTCCCGCAGCGGCAAAAGACTTCGAACTTTTTTCTACAAATTTTAAGGATTCGTCGATAAGTTTAGACTGGACGGTAGGACATATATTTGACTGTCAACTTCATTTCGAATTAATTGTAAGCTAAACACTATCCCACAGTGTTCTTTTAAATATACCAAAACAATTTCAAATCGGTTAGAATTTACATGTTGCTAAAATCGACGTGACCTCAATGTTACAAGTGTAGACAATCGCGTATACTGTTATATATATAGCTATTTGTATTGTACAATAAAATCATCACACTTTAAATTCTTAAATTAGACGTGACTCGATACAAAAATGTTAACCTTAAAACCGCTAAAGCGAACGTTGGCGATGTATTACTGTTTAAAACCATTAAGATATGTCATACAAAATAACACCTTACAAAATTAGGGGCGAGATGTCACCATTGTTGATTAAAAAATAAATCCTCCATACGAGCCCGCCGTGATGAGATTCAAACTTGACTCTGTAACCTGTCACCTGATAAGTCTCCATGTCTTTTATTCGCCATTTGCCAATTCTATTGCCAACTGGGTTAATTATCTTCGGTAACACGCCGCCAACATGCGCAGTGTATTAACGACTATATTTACATGTTGCTTAAGGTTCATTTTTCTTTACAGCTAATTGTTGGTAATGTCCTGCAATAAATGAAAAATAGATTATTTATTGTTAACACATTTTCCTCAAACAACAAAGTCATATTTTATTACTACAACTATAAGTCTTTTTTTTTTAATAAATACATTTATTACAATGCACCAAACGATTGTTACGTAAATTTTTATTAAAAAGAAATTACATTTTTTTTCTAACGTTATTAATTTTACATAAATAAATGTAAAACAAATTTAAGTACAAAAAATCGACAAAAAGTATATGTCAGAAGTGGGATTCGAACCCACGCCCACAGAAGTGGACTGCGACCTGAACGCAGCGCCTTAGACCGCTCGGCCATCCTGACTCGAGAGATCGCGTCGAAAACATAAATTAAATGACAATTTAAGAGTCTTAATTATAGTAATATAACGGAATAAAAAGCAGTCATTTGCCACAACCGGTTAATCTTATTCATTGAATTGAAATAATAACTAATATAATTCGACAGCAACATTTACTTAGTAAATTAAAAATAATATCAAAAGAGAAAAATATGTTTTAAGATGGTCAAAACAATAATATCAATCGCACAAAATTTTTCTACCAATTTGTTCTAAAATATCTGCACCAGTTAATTTGTATATTTCTTTTAAATCTTTAGTACCAAGGTGTTTGTTACCTTATTATGACAATAAATCTGATTAATGATATTTATAGAAAATAGTACCTTATAAAATATGTACCATAGTAAGTAAAAAAATGCCATTCCTGTAGGCATAACATTATATCCTGTGTTGTAAGTACGGCTCAGACACCGCGGGTTGCCGGTTTGATTCCGGTGCGAGAGAGTTATTTTTATGGCCTACTAATAATCGTCAAACATGTGGTCGCCTGTATATGAGGAGTATGAAAAGTGAGTTAGTGAGTGTGATGAGTGAGTAAAAATAACGATGTAAATGATTGAAAATATTCACGAGTTAGTCTCAGGGGGCTGGTAGTCTGATAATTAACTAAACTCAGTTAAGAGAAATATAGAAACTATTTTTTATACCTACGACCCCGTGGCCCAGTTGCCAAGGTATCGGCTTCGAAACCGGGGGTCGTGTGGTCGATTACCTCACGGGAAAACTAATTAATAATTGAAACAAATAATCTTTTCGGATCTGGGTGATTGTCCGCGTGAAATTTGTGTATGTAAAGCATCGTTACAGGATAATGTTATTTCACAGTAAGGGGTAATGTTAACTCATAATAACAATGATTAAGGGGTAATGTTAACTCATAATAACAATGATTAAGGGGCAATGTTAACTCTTAATAACAATAATAACAATCACCCTGGATTGTTTGGTCAGAGCGGCGAGAGGGCGGCCGGTCGAGGCGGCGGCTCGGGAGTTCCAGCGCTGGGCGGCTTGAACGTGCTGCCCTGGAACCACATGCCGCGTTGGAAACTTCCATTGCCCATTCTTATATGCTTTCACTGATCTTATTAAGGGAGACCAGATATTATGTACGTACGTTTTATTTGTGGTGGGACCACGCAGCAGCCTCGGCTGCTGCACGAATGGGCAGGCTCGACCCGGTTAGTACCACGACCTCACAGAAGACCAGCGTGAAGTGGAAGTGTAATACTTTCGCGTTTCGTTTGGTGAGTGAGGTAGCCGGAGCCCAATTTTCTAAAAGTATGTTAACGCATCTGCAACCCTCGGGTGTAGCAGATGTCCATGTGCGGCGGTATTCACTTAACATCAGGTGAACCGCCTGCTCGCTTAACAACTTTTAATATAAGAAAACGTATATTGACTGCATTGTGTAGTAGTAAGAGGCTATATATTTCCCACTGCTGGGCAAAGGGTTCTGTACCTAGGGTATTAGGACATAATCCATAAAGCGAACCCACAACAGATTGGCGGACTTAATTAATATTTATATATATTTTTTGTTAATATTTTGAAAGTATGCAGTTTTCGAGGTGGCTTGAGCCGGACCGGGCTGGATTATCGACCATGTTCATTGCACCAAAAGCCTGCGCTGGGTGGCTTAAGCCGGGTTGGTATAACGCCGATATTGATTGCCCCGCGGAGGGCTCGAGAGGGCTGCCGTGTTTATTGCGCCGACACGGCACCATGTGGCTGGGCCGGGTGTCTGAGCAGCCGGAGTGAGGAGGCCTGAGAAGGCCACAGTCGCGCCGGAAGATTGCGTTTTCGTGTTCCCGTGTCCCTGCCAAAAGTGACAGCGCAGATGCCACCTTGGTTTTTTAGTGGGCACCCCCGCAAATCGCGTATTCCCTTGCCACTACCCACAAGGCGGCGGGGGGCCCATAAAGGATTAGTTCCGCGTAAAAAAAGCGCCGATATAAACAAGCCAATTGCCGTCACCTGGAAGGCCAGCGCCGCCTCCAAGGGCGTGGGTGATTCCCCGCCCAGCGTGGCGTAATCGCCAAACCGCTCCGCCGTCCGGCTGCCCTGGATCGTCGCGTACGTGTTGTCCGTCTGTGCATACAGCTCTTTATTAAAATCTCTAGAAAAAAAATCTACGAAAAGTTTGTCGCCGCTGCGGTAATCGAACCCACGTCTCCCGGTGTCGCGCCCAGACACTTTAGCAACTAACCCAGAGGTTCCCAGGCTTGTCCTCATAGCCCACTTTTACCGGTCGACAAGAAATGTAAAGATTTACGCCAACGTAGACCCTCGTCGATACTCCCATAGACCCCTGGGGGTCCACCTTGAACACTGGGAACCAAGACACTAACTAACCTAAACGGCTGATTGCCACACTGAATTCTTAACATATTTTATCCACACAATTTAAAACTTTAACCTTTATCACCAACTCCGTGACCTCATGCTGAGTGGAAACCTATTTGGTGCATGTACATTGTATTTCTTTATATTGTAAATAATTTTTTGTAAACGATTTATTTATGTTCCAAATAAACTTTTCTTTCTTATTTATTTTACAAGATTTCATAATTAAATAGTAAAGATAAACAAATACCCAACAATTTGCTGTAGGTCATAGAAACGCTTTCTTCGGATGGGAATCGAACCCACGACGAGTGCAGTCAAAGTCGATCGCTTAACGACTGCGCTAAAGTCGTCAAATATTATTATATGAATGATGGAACAAGAATGCCGTTTTGTCTACCAAAGACCGGCGGCAGATGACATAAGGCGGTGCAGACCTGCGGCTGGTCCGGACCGGGCTGCTCGGCCTGGTCCCCGAACACGTTCATGGTGAGCTCCTGCTCCTCGTACGGGCGCAGCTTGGTCTCCAGCCAGAGGGGGTTCTCCGTGGTGCTCAGCTCCTCGAGGATCCGCCTCCGGGCGAGGCTGTCGCCCTTGCTCGATTGCAGCGACGGCGGCGGTATCACCCTGGCGGGGGGAAAGCTTTTTAATACTACACATGGTTCCTTTTTGTTTGATAAGGTGGTAAGCGAGCTGGAGGTACAAATCGAAGTCGAATCAAAATCAAAAATATATTTGTTCAAATAGACGCTTGCGCGCTCTTGTGAATCGTCAAATTTTACATCAAGAATTATACATTATAGGTATGTATATCCTAAGGTATTACCGGTACGGTACACCTGATGTCAAGTGACAACCGCCGCCTGCGCACATTTGCGACACGTGTCAATGTTTCGTTGTTTTTAAAAACGTTGCCCTTGCTTTAGGATAACATTATCCTGTGTTTTAAGGACGCTTTACAAGCATAAAATTCACGCGGACAAACACCTAGATCCGAAGCAACTATCCGTTGGTCGCACCCACGAAGAAAATACCTTGACAACTGCGCCACGTAGTCATCAAACCGTAGGGGATGCGTCGCCACCTTTCAATACGACGACATAATTTCTTGATGACGCCAATGTGTAAGGTTAATACTGTTGATACTCACGTAGGCTAAAACAAGACTATTGTACATGTACTATTATATTGTAAACTGATTTTTTTTAAAAAGAGCAACTGTTGAGTTTCTTGCCGGTTTCTTCTCAACAGAAACTGGTGGTACAGAAACCGGTGGTAACTTACGAACGTGTTAATTTCTTGTAAAATTTTGACGTTTCATAAGAACGCGCAAGCGTCTATGTGAATAAAGATATTTTATTATTATTATTGGGGGGGTATTCATTTGTTTTCTCGTCTGGTTGGGTTTATAAATAAAAATAAAAATAAAGATATAGATATATATTGCATATATAAAATAAATATTATGGATAAAAATAAACATATATATATATATATATATATATATATATATATATATATATATATATATATATATATAAATAAATATTTTATATAATACATATATAAATAGGACCCAAACAGACGGAAGCCCTCGGCAGGGGAGACCAAACGGCCGAGGGTTAGGGCGAAAGGTAGAGAAACCGGCGGACGATGCGGGCGGTATCGAGGAGCACCGCCTTCTGCATTTGAGCCTGGAGCGATCCGTCCCGGAGTCCCAGTCGCCTCAGATGTTTAGAGAGGCTGACTGGGATCAACCCATTCGCAGACACGACTATCGGGATAATTTCGGTCGGCACACCACCCCACATGTCGGTCACCTCGTGAGCCAGGTCCAGATACTTCGTCTTCTTATCTGTTTCGGCTTTCACGAGGTTCTCGTCATATGGAATGGTAATGTCGACCAAAAATACCCGCGACTGTGCCCGGTCCATCAACACGATATCAGGTTTGTTCGCAACAATTGTCCTGTCCGTGATGATGGACCGGTCCCAATAGAGCCTGGCGCGGTCATTTTCGAGCACGGCCTCCGGAGAGTACTTATAATACGGCAGTTTCCGTTCCACGAGGCCGTATTTCAGAGCGAGCTCCTGGTGTAGGATTCTGGCTACTAGGTTGTGTCTATGCAGATACTCAGAGTTAGAAAGCATAGAACAACCGGAGATAACATGCCGAAGCGACTCCCCGGGATGGCAACAAGCTCGACAGATGTCGACGGTGCCATCCTTTAGGATGTATCTCCTATAGTTGTTCGTCTTAATAACCTGATCCTGTATCGCACAGACAAAACCTTCGGTTTCCCCAAAGAGGTCACCGAAACGTAGCCAGTTCAGGGAGGCAACAGTATCTACGAAAGGCTCGTGTAGAGCCTTGTAGAACCTCCCGTGGAGCTCTTTCTCCTTCCATACAGCCTCTCGGTCGGAAACGCTCAGTACTCCGGGTCCTGCCATTGCTCGTTGGCTAAGGATAGAGGGGTAAGTCCTTTATCACAACTAATGACGTCCGTGTAGATTGACTCATCCGATCTCGCCAGAAAGTAGTTACGGAGGCTGCACACCTCGCGATTGTGCATGGTGAGGGCGCTTAAAAAGCCCCTCCCGCCATGCTTCCGCGGAAGGTACAGCCTCATCACTGACGATCTCGGATGATGCATTCTGTGGGACGTCATAGTTGTGCGGACTTTTCGGTCCAGGGCGTTGAGCTCAGTTTGAGTCCATCTGAGTATGCCAAAGGTATACATGAGGACTGGCATGACCCAGCCGTTAAAAGCACGTGCCTTATTCCCGCCTGACAAATGGCTATTAAAAACCTTTGTCAGGCGTGCAAAAAACACGTCACGAACTGACTGTTTCATGCCAGCCTCATCGATACACATATTTTGTGACATACCCAGGTATCGGTATGTTTCAGCCTCAGAGAGGGTCCTTATGTTAACGGGCATAGATAAGTCTATGCCCTCCGTATTAGTGACCTTACCCCTTTCGACATGAAGGACCGCACACTTATCCGTCCCGAGCTCCATTTTGATAGAATTGCTGAAATCACAAGTGACTTTAAGCAATTCCATCAAATGGGAGCGATTGGAGGCGAATAACTTGAGGTCATCCATGTAGAAAAGGTGGGTCACTTTTGTCCCTCCTCTCCGAAGCTGAAATCCTCCCCCCGAGCCCTCCAGTAATGCGCTGAGAGGATTCAGGGAGAGGCAAAACCATATTGGACTCAAACAGTCGCCCTGGAAAATACCCCGTCGTATCCTTATCCGGTATTCCGCAGCCGTCATCCGCTCGCCTAGATGACAAAGGATCGTACTCCATTGCCCCATACAGTACCCGAGGAAGTCTCTTACTGTACAGTCTACTTTGTACAGTTCGAGGACCCTCTTTAGCCATGTATGGGGCACCGAGTCGAACGCCTTTCTGTAGTCTATCCAGGCGGCGGAGAAGTTCCGACGGTTGCGTTTAACCATTTTGCCAATGACCGCGTCGATGAGAAGTGGTTCCTTGGTTCCACGACCACCGCCCCGACATCCATTCTGAGCACGAGACATAATCCGATTCATATTAATATGCCGGGTGATTCTCATGCTCAGAATAGATGTCAGTGTCTTATAGATTGTAGGTAGACACGTTATGGGGCGGTACTTACTCGGGTCTGTGGTAACCTGATCTTTATGAACCAAATGAGTGACCCCAGTAGTAAAGAGGCTCGGGAGCGACCTCTGATCGAGAGCCTCTTGGAACTGTCGGGCGAGCACAGCATGACACACCACGAACCCCTTCAGCCAGTAGTGATGCAGCCCGTCGAGTCCCGGACTTTTCCAGTTCGGGGCTCTACGGACTGCCTCAGATACGTCGTCGGGTGTTATGACGACGGGGTTCATGGGTGTAATGTCTGCACATTGGCTCGCCACGACTTGTGTCCAAGGGCCCTCGCTGTGGTCTACGGGCTCTGACCACAGGCTGCGCCAGAAGGCGACAGTGTCTGCCTGGTCCGGTCCTTGGCCCGTTCCACAGCTCATTGGTCGCTCCAACGATTTGTAGAGCCTCTTTTGGTCACTCTGGAAGAGGCGATTCTGGCTAAACCGCGCCGTCCTCTCGGTATATCTCCGAATCCGCTTCCCCCAAGCAGCGATCCTCTGCTTCAGGTCATCTATGCGCTCCGTTAGTTTTTGCGTAATATCCGGCTGGGACAGGTTTGATGTTGGTCCCAGCGAACGCCATCCTAACGGTGCGCACAATTCTGGGCCTATTATTGCCCGACCTGAAGCTTATCAGCCTGCCGATGATGGCCCTTACCTTTGCGATACGGTCCTCAATTCTTCTTCTCCATGCTGGGATAGTGCTACCTGGTCTGGTAGCACGTCCAGCCTTGGGAAGTTTTGGCGCCAACGATTCGGCATACTGCCAGTGCAGCGCCAAAGAGAATTGAGTCCGTATCGCAAAGATCCCGGCTAGCTTCCAAATAGGTTGCCAGCATCGGGTTAAGAGACCTCACGACAGACCGACTCCGCTTACTTAGGGGTATGCGGGGGAGACGTGGTCGATACTCGAGAGGCGTTTCGCGCACCTCCAGAATTGCCTCCTCCAATATACTTCTCATCTGCTCTATTTCTTGGGCGACTATTCCATCATCGCACGAATCTACAGGAGCCGGGGGGTAAAACGCGGCCTCCGCTTCCGCTTGTAACCCTGCGAGATCCGAAGGTTGCGGGGTCGCATTTCCGGCTACTGCATTCTCATCCGATGAGGGAACAGCCTCACGTCGAAGTCGTTCGAGCTCGGCATCATCAAATATTTTTGAGCGCATGATGTACCGAACTCTGTCTGCTAGGTTTTGCTCCGTGACGGTTAAAGATGGCTCCAGCTCAGCAAAAAATTATTATTATAATATTTTATTATTATTATTATTATTTTTATTATTATTTATATTTATATTTTATTATTATTATTATTATTATTATTATTATTATAATAAAGTGCGCCCCGGCTACCTCACTCACCGGACGAAACGCAGAAGCGGGACACTTCCACTTGACGCCGGTGTTCTGTGAGGTCGTGGTACTCACCCGGACGGACCTGCCCATTCGTGCAACAGCCAAAGCCGTGGCGTGGCACCACCACCGTAGGAAATAAAAAATAAAATATGAGTTCCAGCTCACCAATGCTTGAGGCAGGCGCACACCACGACGAATGTGACGATCCCAGTGAAGAGCACTATGAGAAGTGCTATAAGCGCTGCTAGTGCCGGGTCAAAGCTGTCCGGCGCTGTGGGGGCGAAGGTGGGAGTGGTGTTAGGAATGTGCCATACTTTTTAATACACGAATTCACCCACAAAACTGTCCGCGAACATACCCTGTTCCGCAAGTTGAAATTCCTCGCTTATATAGATAAATATAACGACTAAACGAATTTCAGTATAATGATAGATAGGACCCTGGAGACGAAAATAAGCTACACGAAGTACTAAACCTGCACAGTAAGTGATGAAGTCGCGGGCACCAGCTAGTTTATATAAAGATATGACACATGCTATGTTTTTAAAAATAATAAAAATTGTATAATTATTAGCTAGTTGTGTCGTGCGTATATGTTTTTAATTTTGCGTGCACGACATTATTATTTCAATTTCTCCTTTCCTCCTCCCCCTATCGTAAAGAAAATACGATGTCACTTAAATCGGACAATAGTAAATAATAACCACCAGGCTTCTAAGAGCTATGTGGAAATGGGTTTAAGCGAGAAGCTAAGTTATTTGAGGGTGGACACCTTTGGAGGTGGCGCTGGCTGCGATCAGCGTCTCCACGCCGAACTGCTGGTACACGTCCTTGAGCTGGTCGTATTTGGAGTCGATGGTCTTCAGCACCCGGTCCACGGGCAGCACCTGGTAGGTGCTCGGGTCCACCGCGTGGAGGTGGATCTCGCACCTGAAGATTACCACATATTAGCCACTTTCTATGATGGATTCGTGATGGTAATGAAATCTTTTGAAAAAGAGAGACGGAGAGATATCTTCTTCTCTGGCCTGTAAAGAAATCTGGTTTAACACGACACGTTTTTGATATTTCACCCACGAATGATCACGTCTCAGTTTTGTTTAAGAATTTGGGCTGATACGAAATCGCGGGTAATATTTGTAATAAAAAAAACGAATAAAGAACGAGTTAGTAATATAAATAATAATATGTGTAAGAGTTTCTCAAACACATATTATTATTTATATTTCCCATAGCATTATTTCTTTCCATACTTAATCTATTCTTCGGCGCTCCTACCCGTCTGAAGTATACGCGTTAGAGATTGTCCAAGGATCCGTTTCAATATTTTATAATTATTAAGAGTTATTTTTTAAAGAGTTATTTTTCTGTTTATATTATACAATATTGTTTCAAAACGGGTTTCAATTTAGTCCCGTAATAGAATGAAGAGTGGAAACAAACGAGTGAGCGAAGAGCGAAAGAGTATAATGACGAAAAGCAAAGGGGCGACAAGTGAACGAAGAACGATCGAAGAGTGAAGTAACGGAGAGTAAATAAAAAGTGGAAGAACGGCGAATGAATTAAGAGTATTTTAGCGGTGAGTGAATGAAAAACGATGGAAGAGTGAAGGAGCGGCGAGTGAACGAAGAGTAATAGTAATAGAGCGGGGAATGATGAAGAGTGGCTGAGCGACGATTGAACGAAGAGCGGACGAGCGGCGAATGATGAAGAGTGGTCAAGCGGCGAGTGAAAGAACAACGATCGAAGAGTGATGGATCGGAGAGTAAACCGAAGAGTGATAGAGCGACGAATGGTGATGAGTGATCGAGCGGCGAGTAAAGAAAGAACGATTGAAGTGACGGAGCGGGGAGGGAATAGAGTGATAGTGATAGAGAGGCGAATGATGAAGAGCGGTCGGGCGGCGGGTGAACAAAAATCAAAAAAATCAAAAATCAAATGTATTTATTCAACATAGGAGCATTACACTCACTTATTGATAGTCAAAACACTACCACCAGTTCGGAAAAGAAAGCCACTGTACTGAGAAGAACCGGCGAAAGAAACTCAGCGGGCTTTTTTTTTTTTTTTTAAATAAGCAGTTTGACATAAATTCGTTAAAATACAATATAAGAACTCCGATTGAAAGAGCCTGGAGCGATCAGTTCATTACCAGAGTGTGTTATCATTTAAATAATCATTAATATTATAGTAGCCTTTAAACACACAAACGTTCTTTTACTATTTTTTTAAATTTAGCTATTGATGCATTTTGAACGTTTGTCTGGAACGAAGGGAAGGGAAGGGGGGGCCCACCAGTCGTCGTGCAGCCTGTCGGCCTGCACGAGCGGCAGCGTGCGGCCGGCGACCAGCAGCGCCTGGCCCGCCTGCTGCAGCCGCTCGCGCACCGCGCCCGACGGCGACGCGCAGCTGCGCGACACCACCAGGCGGATCAGCGCCGACCGGTCGATCACCCACAGCTGCGGAGGAATCGCGCTTGGATCGATTCGGCCGTGGAGAGTGCGCGATCGATCCCCGCTAATGGTAATGGTAATGGCCGGGCTTATATTTCAGGTTACATTTGTACAGAACAGAACAGTCTCTAGTCCCAAACTAAGCAAAACTCTTTACTATAGGATAACTGATCAAACTACATAAAAATATTACATAATTTTTTGTAAATAAATACATTTATCGTAAATATATCCAGAAAATGGAAATACACTACATTCATCACACAATATTTATTCAGTAGTGGACATCGAACCCACACCCACTGACGTATTAATCAGCTTCACTACCGACTAGGCCAATCGGGTGCAAGTGAACCACCAGGCCGTTCTTTTCCCGGTCTACTGACACATGGGTGCACTCACGTAAACCTGCGCCTTGGCCTGCCGATGCGGAGGAGCCAACTCCTGCGCGATGATGTCCAGCACGAACCGGTCCTGGTTGTACTCCGACATGAAGGTGGCCGTCATCAGGACACCTGGAATTGGCGAAGTTACAGTTAGCGTAACGATTCTAAAACTGTGGTAGGGGCACGCAACAGAATGGTCGTCTGGTGAGTGAGGTAGCGGTGACCCACTTTATTATCGCCTTCGATATAACGAAGAGAAAATATCGATAAATCGATATTTACTTTTTAGTCCCCGGTGTCCAAAAAAACGTTTGTCTAATATTTAATATTTGAATCTACAGATTCTGTCGCGGGTTCAAATTTGAATAAATATCGATTTTGATACGATTTCGATATTAAATATATCGGATCAAAATATATCGATGTTTTTCGACATGCCTACTATCACTTAACATCGGCTGAACCGCCAGCTAGTTTGCCATCTTCGTACAAAATAAAACAAAATTATATATATATATATATATATATATATAACGACCGGCTCAGAAATCACCAACACTGGATCTAGGTGGCACTGAGTTCTGAAGCTGTTCATGTAAGAAAAGCTGAAGGTAGAATGTCACCGCTGTCGCTTTGTATTGCATTTTGTGTGGAAGGGGTTGGGAAGTAAATCCATTCGAAGACATTGCCCCCATTATAGGAAAACATTATCCTGTGCTTGAAGGGCCATAAATTTCACGCGAATAAAGGTCCAGATCACACAAATAGTTCCCGTGCGGGAATCGAAGCCACGGCCGACATCGCTCACCATCCTGGCTGACGTTGAAGGGCGAGGGCACGACGCTGCCACTGGACCGCTCCGCGCCGAACTTGTAGAGGTGCGAGGCCGCCACCATGTAGACCAGGGTGCCGTTCTCCCGAAGGTCGGGGTCCTCGGCGCTCACCGACAGTATCGGCTCGTGGATGCGCGCCGTGTGCTTCACGCCTGAAGACAAGAGAAACCTTAGTACTCATGTGTTGGTCCGATTATGATTGATTTCTTTTGGGGCCTTACCCGGAAGATAGTAGAGAGGGAGAGACGGTTTTTTATTACTAGCCGTCTCTACATATAAAATTACATATAAATATTATACAAGTCCATTTTTTTACTAACAAAACCGACTTCAACCGCTCTGTATTCATTTTACAATTGATTTTCACGAGTTCCCCAAGTATCTCTGGAGCCCAAGATCCATACCAATGAAATTAATATGTCACCAGCTTTCAAATAAAAAAAGAATCATAAAGATCGGGTCACTCTGTCGATAGTTTTGAGGTACATAAAAAAAATACAGTCGAATAGAGAACGTGCTCCTTTTTGAAGTCGGTTAAAAATTAATCCATATGTGTACATAAATACATATCGACATAAATACAACATATGTCTGATCTAATTTATTACTATGGAAAAAGTTTGCTATATACTTTTGTCTGGGATATAATTATATAACACTAGAGTTAACTATGTCATAAATGTGTATACAAATAAAACTTTCGTTTTTATTTAGTTAAAAAAACATGCATCGATTCTAAATCACAACAAAAGTAAATTTTCAATAATAATCGTAAATATATCGGGACATATTTTTACAGGATGTTATTTACTCCCAAACTAAACAAAGCTAGTACTATGGATATTAGGTAACTGACAAAAATAGATACATATTATAGATATATAAACACCCCGAAAATAGAAAAGCACTATGTTCACCTCACAGTATTTTTCCAGAAGTGGGGATCGAACCCACACCCTCTGGCGCAGGAGACAGGGTCACTACGCCAAATGGGTCGTCATAATTAATGATGACTACTTAAAAATATGGATTTTAAGGGGACAAATTCCGACATATAAGTGTGAAAGACATAAACAAATAGTTAATGATGTTTAACGTGTAATTAAATATTTTCATAATCGAGCGTAAAGTTAAAATTTGTAGAAACAGTACGAAAAGATTGTCGCCGCTGTGGGAAACGAGCCCATGTCTTCGGCATTCGAGGCCAACGTAGTGGTGATGTGGTCTTTTCGTACTTTTTCAACAAATTTTAATGTTTAATCTTAAGTTGACCCGAATGGCGTAGTGGGTAGTGTACCTGCCTCCTGCGCCAGAGGGTGTGGGTTCGATCCCCACAACTGGAAAAATATTGTGTGATGAACATGGTGTTTTTCTTGTGTCTGGACGTTTATACCATCGCGACAATAAATGAACACACATATAGAGGATAACTTTTAAAAATTTTATTAAAGATTAACATTTTTTAAACATCAATATTTAACGAGTTATCAAATTTTCCAAAACACAGAATTTTAGAACATCCTTGTATAAAACTTTACATTAAAGTTCATTTGTAAAGGTCACAAAACATATGAATGGGTTGAATGAATTTAAAAGGGACAAAACGTACTGTTAGAAGGAGAGGCTTGTAATGCGACGCTGTGGCAACGAATTAAAAAGTCTCTGAATGTATGAATCAGTCAAATGTAGTTGTATAGGATGTTACAAATTTTGTTCCTTTTTTACCTTATTAGTTTGTTTAAAAAATATTTTTTTTTTAATTATGGATTTTTTAACGTTAATATTTTTTATGATTATTGGCAAGTAGCGTTAGACGTGTGTTCCTTTATTGTCGCGGTGGTAAAGACACGCTGTATATGTATAACATGTATTTATTTACAAAAGAAAAGTATGTTTAAGTACGTTTGTCAGTTTTATAGTACAAGTTGTGCTTAGTTTGGGACTAGAAAATGTTGTGTAAAAAATGTGTCCTAAAAATATTTTATTTATTTAAGTGCAGAGATTGGCACTATAAAAAATTAAAATTTCGAACGTAAAATTGCTACAAAACCAACCGGCGTAGTAAACTTTCTGCTGGAACTTAGGCTCGTTGTCGTTGACGTCCAGGACTTTGACCGTGACCACAGCGACGCCGCCATCTTGGCCGTCCGTGCTGTTGTCTATGGCATTCAAGATGGCGGCCGCGCGCTCCAGCAGCGGGCTGTTGCTCGCGTACACCGTCAAGGTGTACTCCTCCCGCTCCTCCCTGAGTGACAGTGCCAAGAGAATGAAGGAGGTAATGTAAATGTATACGTACCACGACCTCACAGAAGACCGGCATAAAGTAGAAGTTACACTTCTGCGTTTCGTCTGGTGAATGAGGTAGCCGGGGTCCACCTTATTTGCAACCCTACGGGTGTTGCAAAAGTCCATGGGCGGCGGTTATCACTTAGCGCCAGGTGAACCGCCGGCTCGATTGCCACGTTATCACATTTAAAAAAAAAACAGGCTACATAAGTTCCACTGCTGGGCAATGGCCTCCGATACAGGTGAGCCGTGATAGCTCATCCGCGCACTCGCTTTTAATTCAATATACTCGAGCAAATTGATTTCGATCGCAGGAGAAATTTTAAGTGTTGACATATCACATGCTCAGCTGTGAAGGAAAATTCGAAAAAACAACAAAAAAAAATATTCGAAGATGTGTGTCGTCCGCCAAACCGCAGTGCGGTCGCATGGTGGACTATGCCCTAATACCCTCTGTACAGAGGACGCCTTAGCCCAGCAGTGGGACATATATAGTCTGTTATTTAACTTTTGTTTTACAGAAGGTACTAAGCAAATACAGACAAAATACTACACCTTGACAAAAATACATATTTACATAAAAATTACGTTTAACTATGTGATACGGTATAATTTTTTTAGAAAAATTGTATCAAAACTCAGCACAAATTTCATTTAAATTTTCTTCGCACGAGATACTAAATGTGATCATTATTTGTAGATATTATATCTAACGAACTATAACAAAATATTTCATACCTGCTATATGGGACGAAATTATACTAATAATTTACAAATTTAAAAGGTACATAATCAACTTTAAATGACCGAAGCACATATATGTGCACAAATTCAGTACGTAACTAGACTCTGTGCATTTTTAATGAGTAGCATCTCAATCATTAATCATTGTTACGTCCTAATTAATGATTCGGTGGCGCCTTTCCTACGCTATGGCCTGTTGAGGTTCGTGGGTTCGATTCCCACACGGGACAAGTATTCGTGTGACCCGCAGATAATTTTAGACGATCTGGGTGTTTGTTTCCCAAGTAGAGTTGACGTAAGGTAGGCGGCCGGTCGTAAATTGTTTGATTCACTTGTTGTGCCGCCCCACAGGTGGGATAAGGGCAGGATGATGATGATAGATCGTCCTAATTAATTATCTATATTTAATAATATTTTAGCGTGATTTTATGTCTGTCCGCTTGTCACCAGGCTGTGCTCCAATACAAGAGACATGATTTTTTGGCCGTTTTCATAGATAATGGCACGGAACCCCTCGGGCGTACGTCAGAATCGCACTTGGCCGTTTTTTTATACATTATTTACAAGGCATTTATTACTCGTAGAGTGAATTTAGTTTCTCTAATCGTTCGGAAAAAACTAACACCGAAGATTTTAGCCGAAGCTTACCTGTCAAAGGTGACGTTGGCACGTAGTGTGCCCTGGGTCCTGTCCAGGATGAAAGCGCCTTCCTGGTTCCCTTCCAATATGTGGTAGTACACTTTGCCGTTCTCACCGGAGTCTTTGTCTACGGCTTTTACTGTTCCTGTAATTTAAGAAAATTAAGGTTTTCTAAAGCTATTCTGTTTTATTTATTTTAATTTTAAAGACTCGATCGATCTTTAAAGATTGTTTTGAAATAAACGTAGTTATATATGATAGAGGGAGTTTGTTGTTTAGACCTTAGTAACTTAGGAGTCAGATAATTTACTGCTTAATAACCACTCCTATGTTGCTATGTCGGGGTTATGTAGTCTATTCAGGTCTTGTATAACAGATTGTTTTACTGACGAACTTATTGGCGTAACGGATAGTGAAACTGTCCATTACGCATAGGGATCGGATTCGATCTCGACTTGGGGTCCAGCTCTTTAGGAGTCGGTGGTCACGCAGCCTGGTGACTGTGGCATGTAAAATGGTGACTTGACTACTGTAGTTTAAGACTCGATGTCGGTACAATGGTGATATAGCACCAGTGTTTACGAGTCGGTCGTCACGCTGCCTGGTGGCCGCGCCGATAAGGAGTAGATGGTATGTCAAATGGATACTTGGCGATTGGGTAGTGGTGGTAAAATGGTGATGTGGCGCCAGAGTCTTTTAGAGTCGGTGGTCACGCCGTCTCCTCGTCGTTCAGGAATGGGTGGCATGCGAAATGGAGTCTTGGTAATTGGGTGGTGGTGGTGCTCACCCACTGCCACGCCCCTGGGCAGCCCCTCGGCCACGGCGAAGAGGTAGCGCGCGCTGGCGAACGCCGGCCGGTTGTCGTCCTCGTCCGCCAGCACCACTTGCAGCAGGCGCACGCTCTCGAAGCGGGCGGGGGTGCCGTTGTCCACGGCCGCCACCACCAGCTGCCACGGTTTGACAACATTTCGGGACGAGGGCTTACGGTGGTCGGGCCACGCGGCAGCCTCGGCTGTTGCACGAACGGGCAGGCCCGTCCGGGTAAGTTCCACGACCTCACAAGACCGGCGTAAAGTGGAAGTGTAATGCTTTCGCGTTTCGTCTGGTGAGTGAGGCGGCCGGAGCCCAACTTTCAAAAGGTTGTCAACACATCTGCAAACCCTCGGGTGTGGCAAATATCCATGGGCGGCGGTATTCACTTAACATCAGGTGAACTGTCTGCTCGTTTGACAACGTTTCACATAAAAAAAAATATTCCAGGAGACATTTTTAAGCGAAGTTCTCTATCTAGTCTTCCCTTCGATAATATTGCCCCGTACGGATGAAATTATCCTGTGTTGTAAGAAAGATTTACGTATATAAGTTTCACGTTAACAAACACCCAGATCCGAAACAATTATCTGCGGGTCACACAAATAGTTGTTCCGTGTGAGAATCGAACCCACGGCCCCCTAGACCGAAGCCGATAAATTGGCATCTTCGCCACGGAGTCGTCAATAAATTTTTAGCCTGTTCTACGCTTATATCAAATCAATATAAACGTAGAACAGGCCAAATCAAATGAAGGGCCCACTTTATTACTAGGTGGCAAAGCATCTGAAACCCTAATGTTGCAAATGTTTAAAATCAATCAAAAATAAATCTACATTCAATCAACCCAAAAATAAATCAAAATTCAAAATTAAATCAACTTTTAGTTCATTTTAATGTGAACAAAATCTTTCACGATGAGCAATATGGATTCACTAAAGACAGATCGACCACAGATGCGGGCGTCGCACTTGTCAAACATATTTATAACGCCTGGGAAAGGTCACAAGATGCAATAGGTGTCTTTTGTGACCTTTCAAAAGCCTTCGACTGCGTAGACCATAAAACTCTCCTTCAAAAGCTAGAATATTATGGCATTCGTGGCATCGCCCTCAATCTCATTGCCTCTTACCTTAGTAATAGAATTCAAAAAGTATCTATAAATGATGTTAATTCCGCTGGGTCCCAGATGAAAATGGGAGTCCCACAAGGATCAATCTTGGGCCCATTATTATTTTTAGTATATATTAATGATCTCCCCTTTTATGCCAGTGGGTTGTGTGATGTTGTACTGTTTGCTGACAATACATCGCTTATTTTTAAAGTTGACCGAAACGTATTAAATTATGACGACGTGAATAGTGCACTTTCACGTATCCTCCACTGGTTTACTATTAATAAAATGGTATTAAATGCCAAAAAAAAACCAGATGTATTCTTTTTACCCTTCCCTGTATAAGAAGGAAAAGTTTTAGTTTAATATTAAATAACGTACCCATTAATCCAGTTGAGTCTGCTGTATTTCTGGGAATTACAGTAGATTCAAAGCTCCAGTGGAGTCCCCATATATCATCTCTTGCGAATAGGCTGAGCTCCGCGGTTTTTGCGATTAGAAGGGTTAGGCAGCTAACAGACATCGACACTGCCAGACTTGTTTACTTTAGTTATTTTCACAGCATCTTGTCGTACGGCATTTTGTTGTGGGGTAGTGCATCAGATATAAATTCTATATTTATTCTTCAAAAAAGAGTTGTCCGAGCAATCTACAATATCGGAGCCCGGAATTCACTCAAAGATCTTTTCAAAGAGGTTAATATACTCACTGTTGCTTCTCAATACATTTATTGTAATGTTTTGTATATACGTCATAACCTTAATTATTACCTAAAGAATAGTGACAGACATAAAATAATCACTAGAAATAAGGACAAACTTACTACGCCATTGTTTCGTCTACAAAAGTAAATAAGTCGTAAATGGGGCAAAGTGTACGCATGTATAATAAAATCCCACAGTCGATATTAAGTCTGCCGCTTGACCAATTTAAATGTAAAATTAAAAATCAACTGATGATTAAAGCATATGTGGAGTTAATACTGTTGATACTCACGTAGGCTAGAACAAGACTATTATACCTGTATATTATATTGTACCCTGATACTTTTGAAAAAGAGCAACTGTTGAGTTCCTTGCCGGTCTCTTCTCAACGGAAACTGCTTTCCGAACCGGTGCTACCTTACGTATTTTTGTTGTAAAATTTGACGATTCACAGGAGCGCGCGGGCGTCTATTTGAATGAATATATTTTTGATTTTGATTTTGTCCATGGGCGGCGGTCGTCACTTAACATCACGTGAACTGCCAGGTCGTTTGCCACATAAAAAAAGTTACAACAAAATTACCACACCGACCTGGTACTCGGACCGGTGCTCCCGGTCGAGGAAGGTCTTGGTCCTGAGCTCGCCCGAGTCTCGGTCCAGGCTGAACTCGGCGGTCTCGCCCACGTTCTGGTTGTCCACCTTCAGGTAGTACGAGACGCGGCCGTTCTCGCCGCTGTCCTCGTCCACCGCCTTTATCGTGGTCACCAAGTAGTCCGCTTGGGCCGCGTTCTGTCCAAGCGTTTCGAGACATTTATTCGGCCATCTTCATATGGACACTTGGAAGATATGCCATAACAATACAATACTTAAACATAAAAAAATACAAGGAAAAATGTTGAAAACACAAAAAAAATATTGTTAAAAGCAGTAAATAAATAACTACAATAATATTAATAACTTAGAAATAAAACAAGATAAATATTTTTTTTAATGGAACAGATTCATGACAAATGAAATATGCGATATGATAAAGTTTTAAATTAAATTTAAGCCTTATAAATACATATTTTTCTTCCTAAATTTAGGAAGAAAACCTGTAAGTTTATTTCCTAAATTTAGGAAGAACTACTTTCGTCTCTGCAACCGATGAGTCAAAATAATGAAATCAAATCATTAATCAAATTATATCGAAATAATTATAGCATTCCATTTATCGGTAGTATTTCGTTTTAAATCTTCCACCTACAAACAGACGAAAGAAACTTCGGAAGTATCCTATTTTTAAATTATTTCTTTTCCTCAAAATTACGGATGTCGAAAAAATATCGATATATCAACATTTTTGATTCTAAATATCGATATTTTCAGCAGTTATATATTTGAATCTGATTTCCGTATTAAAAAACCAAATTTAATATTTTTCATAGTCTTCATATCCTTTCAGATCATAAGATTGTTTCAATTTCAATATGTTACTTATCACAAATGTGCTTGTAATTTTTGTAACCTAAAACTTTGATATTTAAATAAAGATTTTGACATTATTATTATTATATTATAGTTGTAAAATCCATACTAATATTATAAATGCAAAAGTAACTCTCTCTGTCTGTCTCACTTTCACGCCAAAACCGATTTAAATGAAATTTGGTACACAGATAGTTTAGAGCCTGAGAAAGGACTTACGACTATTTTTTAATTGTTTATATTATATTTTTATATTATATTATATTTTTAATTGATATAGGGGATATTTTTTAAAGAAAATTAATTATTTTAGGGCTTCCATACGAGCGAAGCCGCGGGCGAAAAGCTAGTATTTTATACTTGACAAATTTTTTTTCGACAAAGGTTTGCAAGACTTTATCCGACATATTGGTATATCATCTATATTTTCTCTTCGATATATCGAGGTCGATATCGATACTTTTACAAATATCGATACATCGATCTATCGATATTCCTAACATCACATCCGTGGTGGCGACTCACCTCTGGGATCTCGAGCTGACGCTGGTCCGGCGGCGGTTGCAGGAATTGGGGGCTGTGGCGGTTGACGCTCACCACTGCCACGTCCACGCGCGCCCTGTCCGAGTGGGGCCCGTCCGAGGCGCGCACCCACAGCTGGTGGCTGGTGCTGCCACGCACCGCCCTACTGGGCCGGATGATGCCCTTCCAGCGGTCCACCGTGAACGTGCCTGCAACGGCGAATTTGCTCGTGAGAAGGTGGCAAACGTGATTCACCCGATGTTAAGTGACAACCGCCGCCCGTTGAAATTTGCAACGCCCGTAGTGTCACATGATAAAGTGCCCCGCTACCTCACTCGACAGACGAAACGCGGAAGTATAACACTTCCGCTTCACGCCGGTCTTTTGGTAGTTCGTGGTACTACGCGGGCCGCCTTTCGATCTAATTAATTGTTAATTTCAAGTGCTGACTCATCACGTGCTCAGCGGTGAAGGGAAACATCGCGAGGAAACTTGCGTATTTCGAACATATGTGAAGTCCATCAATCTCCAGTGGGGCCGCGTGGTGGACTATGCCGTGATACCCTCTGCACATGGGAGCCCTTTGCCCAGCAGTGGGATATAATTAAATGGCGGTTACTTTACTTTTACCTTGACCACAGTTAAAGTACGTTCAAACTTACCTGGTTCGCTCTGTTCCTCAATGGAGTACTCTACTCTCCCGTTCTCCCCTTCATCTCTATCCTCGGCCAGCACTTGGAGTATAGCGGCCGGTGGCTCCAGCTGCAGGTTCTCAGCGATGGTGCTCTTGTACACCTTCTGGCTGAACACCGGCGGGTTGTCGTTCTCGTCCAGCACTTTGATGTTGACCTGGTATGAGTTTGAAATAAAACAAATTAGAATAGGAATAATATTTAAAAGCGAGTTTAAATTTTAAACGGGCTATGTTATTAGTTCTATAAAAGGCAAATGAATTGTTATGAGCTCTGTAAATTAGAAACAGAATAACTATTCAAGTGTTTTAGAAGACATAAATAAAGCTATAGAGGCGGAGGAGTTATAGAGGGACAAATAACCAAAAACGCTTTTACAATGTTATAAGGGCTTCTTTATTACTTCAAAGGGGTACCGCAAGGGAGCGTTATAGGTCCTCAGCTGTCACTACTATTTATAATTTATTTATTTATTAATGTCTATCTCCAAAATTAGATGTTTTAGAAATAGCATACAAGATGAATATAAACTCAGGTTAAGAACAACATGCAATTTCAATTACAGACAGACACTGCATACACAGAGTATAGGTGCTAAAACAGTATAATAAAACAATAAAAGAGAAACTAGAAAAAAAAACTAGGAAATAATATAACTAACACTGCAATGCTACTTAAAATATAATAACAAAATTACAAAACTATTACATATTATAAAAGTGAGGCGACATAGACATGTACACAAAAGACTGAATGTTAGACGTCTACGGCGCTAATTGGATTCATTACCCTGACAATTTTCGATTTAAATATTATTAATTATTATAATAATATTTGTCGTGAAAAATATCTATTGAACTATCTTTATTTGTAAAAAAATTTAATAGTCTGCACAATCTGGGAATTATAGAATGGTGTACCAAGTTAGATTTGTATGTTTTATGAGTGAGGATAGATTTTAGTTGGCGCGGCAAACGGGAAGGAACGTCAAGGGAAATACGCTTAAGTAACTCTGGGTTATCAAATAAATTGTTCAACGGCTTATACAAGAACAACGTGTCTTGTATTGTGCGCCTATCGGATAACTTCATAAAAACTCCTAAGTCGTTCAGGGTAAGGCACTCGTTTTCCTGGGCCAGTTAAATAGACGAAAGTAAAGCGTCTCTGAATAGACTCGATACGGTTTTTATGGACCTGGTAATTTGGATTCCATACAACCGAACAATACTCGAGCTTGCTTCTGACCAGTGTGGTGAATAAAAGTTTTCTTGTGCTCGGGCTTTTAGTCTTTAGAGTTTCTCCACACAAACCCTAATATACGCCTAGCAGATTTACAAATATTTAAAATATGGTGTTTAAAGCTTAATTTGGTATCAAACGTTACACCCAGGTCACGCACCACTTCCTGTTAATTAAGCGCTATGCCGTTAATATGGTATGCTGTTACAATTGTTTTAAGATTGCGAGTAAATCTTGTAAATGAGCATTTTCCGGATTAAGTGCCATTCCATTTTGTTGGGACCATTCATATAATTTATCTACGTCCTCTTGAAAAGCCCTACTATCACTGGGCGATCTTATTTCTTTCGCGATTTTTAGGTCGTCCGCAAAGATAAAACATTTCGAGTTACGAAAGATTTCCAAAACATCGTTTATATATATATATATTAAATAAAATTGGCCCGAGGATAGATCCCTGGGGAACCCCAGATGTAGAAAGGTATGACTATACGAATATACGTCGCAAGCCATGACAATACAGACCCTCCAAAACATAATGACAAAATCTATCTCTAATATCTATCTCTCTATATACTTGCATGCCTTGTAGATGCATACTTACAGGCACGCTGGTGGTCTTCTTGAGCGTCGGAGGCGCGTTGTCGCTCGCTATGGCCCGCAGGTGGAAGTCAGTTATGTTCTCCCTGTCGATATTGATCCCCTCGGCGACAGATATGGCGCCGGTGGCAGCGTCGATGGAGAAGAAGTGGGACAGTTCACCGGACAAGTTGTACGTCACCTCGCCGAATTCGCCTGAGAAGAATCACATTGGAAATTGCAAAGTGGACTTTGGATTTGTATATACGCTCGGTGGCGGCGTCGCTAAGCTTTGGCGTCGGGGTTCGTGGTTCGATTTCGATACGGGACAAGTATTTGTATGACCCACAGATAATTTTTTCCGCGTCGGGTGTTTATTTGCCACGGAGGGAGGTCAGGCGGCCGATCGTAGAAATCATAGCCAGAACCGTTTACAACATTATTCAAATGTTGCCTGATAAGACAATAAGGGCAGGATGATAATGATAATGATGATGATGCATTTGTATATATAATGGTACTAAAAGGTTTACTCTAAGGTGGCCGCGTATGGCAACCCTACGAATGTTACAAATATCCATGGTCTGTGATTATCATTTAACACCGCTACATAGTATAAAACAAAGTCTTCCTTCTGTCTGCCTGTCCCTATATATGCTTACATCTTTAAAACTACGGTTTTTTACTAGATATAGTGATTCAAGAGGAAGGTTTATACGTATCATTCATGCATAATATAGTAGTGAAACACTGATAATGTTGGAAGTTTCTAACGCCATGTCGAATCAAACATTATAATTGCACCCGAGCGAAACCGGGGCGGGCCGCTAGTTATATATATTAGGCAAACCGCCAGCTCGTTTGTCCAGCACATAAGCAAAGACGATGGAAGTGTACATGCGACGGCAGCCTACCTTCGTCCCTGTCGACGGCAGCGACGGTGACCACGCTGGTGCCCGCCGGCGAGTTCTCCGGGACGGTGGCCTGGTACTCCCGCTCCGCGAAGGTCGGCTCCTCGTCGTTCAGGTTCTCCACCTCCACCCATACGGATGCGGAGGCGGACCTCTGGGGAACCCCCGAGTCGAACGCGACCAGAGTGAAGTTTATGCGTTTAACTTTCTCGTAGTCGATGCGCTGGGCGATTTTCACGACACCTGCCGGCAGTGAAGGCAAATCAGTTGCACTCCTTTATCGGGAATCGTACTCGTTGGTAGGGGGCTGGTGATATTTACAAACTAACGTGTCTCAAATACCCGAATATTAGAGACGGAGTGATCAGTTCCCATTGTTATGTTCTAGGGTGGTAGGGCCACGCAGCAGCCTCGGCTGTTGCACGAATGGGCAGGCCCGTCCGGGTAAGGTGAGTGAGGTAGCCGGAGCCCAATTTTCAAAAGGTTGTCAACGCATCTGTAACCCTCTAAGGCAGATGTCCATGGGCGGCGGTATTCACTTAACATCAGGTGAACCGTCTGCTCGTTTAACAACTTTTCGCATAAAAATAAATAAATGTTAATAATATTTTAAGATAAATTAACAAAAATTTCGGCGCTACGAGATTCGAAACTGAGTTTGGTGGCTCTTTATAATTTTTTCTACAAAAGTTCACAATTTAAATTTTCATCTCGAGTGTACAGACTAGCACTATAAATAAATGTTATCGTAAAGTTTTGTAACATTTATTTGTATTGATTTCTTGTGTGTTTATTTCCATCCATATATTGTAGCATATAGCTGCAATAATTTTTATTTTTCCTATTTTCTGTACTCTTAAACTACATTAACACTAAAACCACTAATACTAAATTATTTGGGCCATACAAAACATTATTGATTGTTTAGTCGAGAATGAATATGAATTTAGTTTTTTTTTAATAAAAGTACATCATATTGTATATATATAACACGTTTATTTATACTTTATGTGTTAAAATCTATGAATATTTAAATCTGTCTATTCATGGATTAGAAGTGTTATACTTCTGCGTTCGGATGAGTGAGGTAACCGGGACCCACTTTATTAAAAGGTTTATCATGAACCGCTGGCTCGCCATTTATTTATGTATTTATTTTACAGATGATTTACTTCCCAAACTTACGATTATAATCAAATCAATTTACTAATATTTTTAATAATCGTTTAAGACGCTCCTACATAAAAAGTGGACAGTTTCGTCCGAGACGGATCACCCACCGGTGGCGTTGTCTATCTGGAAGTAGGGGCTGGGGGGGTGGATGACCATAGCGGCTATGGGCGTCTCCTTGTCCGTGGCGCTGTACGTGTTGAGCACCGTCCCCGGAGGCTGCTCCTCCAGGATCTTCTCCAGGTAGGCCGGCTCCGTGAACACGGGCCCGTGGCGATTCACGTCCACTATGGTCACGATCAGCTCGCCTGGCGACGGGAACACGACGAATTCAATATATGAATTGCGTGTAACAATAAAATTTGTGGAAAGTACAAAGTTCTTCGACGCTGCCTGGACTCGAACACACGTCTTCGGGATTCGCGTCCAGAGGCTTTAAACACTAAGCTAAACGGCTGACGACTCGTTTGTTCTCTAGAGCGCCACAAACAAACAAATTCTGATAAACAATATTACCCTCTTTTCGCGGAGTCTGGTAAAAGTATTATTACTCAGAGATGGATATTAACAACACATATCTAACTAATATGAGAGTCTGTCTGCGTATTCGTGTGTGTGGTCAATGCTAATTTGAATATTTAAAAAGGAAGACCTCCAATAGATTATTCTTTTGAACACAGTTCCACCATACTGGTTTTGCCTATGGATTAAGACTTTCCGCTCCAGATAATGATGTGTTAATCTATGTATAAGCTATATTATTGTAAAGTTTCATTAGAATCCATTGAGTAGTGTTTGCGTGAAAGAGTAACAAACATCCATCCATACATACAAACTTTCGCGTTTATAGTATTAGTACGGATAGTAAGGATAGTACGGATAGTAAAGATAGTAAAGATTAGTAAGGATAGTAAAGATTAGTAAGGATAGTAAGGATAGTAAGGATTAGTAAGGAAGTAAGGATAGTAAGGATTAGTAAGGATAGTAAGGATTAGTAAGGAAGTAAGGATAGTAAGGATTAAGGAGTAGTGTTTGCGTGAAAGAGTAAGTAAGGATAGTAAGGATTAGTAAGGAAGTAAGGATAGTAAGGATTAGTAAGGATAGTAAGGATAGTAAGGATTAGTAAGAAAGTAAGAAAGTAAGGAAGTAAGGAAGTAAGGATAGTAAGGATTAGTAAGGAAGTAAGGATAGTAAGGATAGTAAGGATTAGTAAGGAAGTAAGGATAGTAAGGATTAGTAAGGAAGTAAGGATAGTAAGGATTAGTAAGGAAGTAAGGATTAGTAAGGAAGTAAGGATGGTAAGGATTAGTACGGAAGTAAGGATTATAAATAAATTATATAAATAAAACTGTATGAGCGTCTGTTCACCCTGGGTCCTCTGCAAGGTGGGGGCCTCCGTGTCGGTGACGAGCACGGGTAGCGTCAGCACCGCCGCCAGGCGGCGCTGCAGCGGCGCGCCCACCACCACCTCCCCGCTGGGCAGGACCTCGAACCAGGACTCGAAGATCCCCTCCTCGCTCACCTGGACCCGAATTTTTATATGAGCTGGCGGTTCACCTGATGTTAAGCGATAAACACCGCCCATTGGCTTTGCAGCACTCATTTATTGGACTATTTATTGGACTTTGGGGTCCGGAGGTACATCATTATATAGGAAATGTATCGTGAGTGGGTATTTCGCGATATTTTAAGTCGATTTAGTTTTTAGTAGTAAAAATTTATTTGTAATGTGAGTTATCCGCAGTAGAACAGAGCTTACCGACATAGTTCAGAGGCTTAGAAAGCTAAAATAGAATGTAAGTGTTAACTGCCGCCCGTGGACATTCACAACACCAGCAGAGTTGCAGATTCGTTGCCACCTTTCAATAAAGTGCGCCCCGGCTATCTCATTCACCGGACGAAACGCAGAAGCGTAACTCTTGCACTTCACGGCGGTTCTGCGATGTCGCGGTGCTTACCCTCACGGAGCTACCCATTCGTGCAACAGCCGAAGACTTGCGTGGCACCACCACAGTGAACTATGTCCAGCAGTGGCCTTTTTTTTATTTAATTAATCCAGTAATAAAGTAAAATAATATAAATTATTTTCTGCCAAACTGTGATGCATTTTATCGGCAGCAGTATTCGTGAATAGATACATCGATGTATTTCAACCTTACTAATATAACACCTATATATTTATATTTATATATAATTGTAATATATGTATATACAAATCCTTAATTATAAGTTAGGTACGAGTATAATATACAGCGTGTCTTTATCATCGCGACAATAAATGAACACACATATAGGGGATAACTTTTAAAAGTTGTATTAAACATTTAAATTATATAAATATCAATATTTACAAAGTTATTAAATTTTCCAAAACAAAGAATTTTAGAACATCCTTACGTATAAAACTGTAACGTAAAGTTCATTTGTAAAGGTCCACAAAGCATATGAATGGGTTGAATGAATTTAAAAGAGACAAAACATACTGTTAGAAGGAGAGGCTTTTAATAAGACGTTGTGGCGCGAGTTGTATAGGGATGTTGAAAATTTTGTTTCTTTTTTACTTAATTAGCTTGTTTGAAAAATATTTTTTTTTAATTAGGGATTTTGTTTAACGTTAATATTTTCTTATGATTATTGGCAAGTAGCGTTAGACGTGTGTTTATTTATTGTCGCGATGGTGACGACACGCCGTATAAGTTTATCAAGCCTCAAACAGGTCGATGACGCTGACGCCTCCACGTGTCGCAGCACGGCTTCGAACCCGCTCACCTCCTGGCCGTTCTCGTCGACGGCCCGTATCGGCACGTCACTGGACATCGCGAACACCAGGTTGGCGCTGTCCTCGATATCGGGGTCCTCGGCGGCCAGCCTGTGCAGGACCGCGCCCGCCTGCGCGTCGGCCGACACCTCGGCTCTCTGCACGCTGGGCGTGAACACTGGCCGCTTGTCGTTCACGTTGATCACGCGGATCGTCAGCTCGGTGGTCCCCGTCAGCGATGGGACCCCTGGAGAGGTGTGGGTGTCGGTGACGCTGGATAGGCCACCCAGAGACGCGGGTTCGAATGCATTAAAGATCGTATTTTAAATTTGATTTACAACAAGTTTTCATTTTAAGATCTGTTACCATTACACGCATGCTGTGAAAAAGCTCCGTTATTAGTTCAAGGACTTAGAGGAAGTCGGACAACGTTTTTCAAGTCACACTTTTTGATATTCACCTATGATTCCAAGTGATTTAATCAAACCGTTATCAACTGCATTTAATGTCTTCTTTTAGTTATGTTTCTTTTGTTACGCTAAAGTATGTATTAAGTGACTTCGTACGTACCTGAAGTGGAATGATAACCGCTGCCCCATGGACATTTACAACACCCTTAGGGTTGCAGATGCGTTGGCACCTTTTAATAAAGTGGGCCGCGGCTATCTCACTCACCACACGAACCGCACAAGTAGAACACTAGTATTTGACGCCGGTCTTCTGTGAGATCGTGTTACTTACTTGGCCGGACCTGCCCATTCGTGCAACGAACGAAGACTGTTGCATGGCCCCGAAACACTCTCACTCCCCAAACGAATCGTGAAAGTACACCGCTCCCACTTCGCGCCGTACTTCTGTGAGGTCGTAGTACTTGCCCATTCGTGCAACAGCCGCAGCTGCTGCGTGGCCCTACCGCAGCTCGATGTACACATCCCCTCACCCATGTCCGTGGCCACCAGCAGCACCCTGTAGGTGTCGCGGCGGTCGTGGTCCAGCGCTGCCGCCACGGCCACCACGCCGCTGCTGGGCTCCACCCTGAAGGCGTCCAGCGCCCCGCGCTGGATGGAGTAGACCAGCTCCGCGTTGGCGCCGCTGTCCAGGTCCGTGGCGTGCACCGAGGCCACCTCCGTGCCTGCGTTAAAAGTACGGTCATTCTATGTACGGCCCACTGCTGGGCAAAGGCCTTTGTATATAGGGTATTAGCGCGTAGTCCACCACGCAAGCCCACTGCGGATTGGCGGACTGCACTTATATTTTCTAAAAGTTTTTTTTGTTTGGAATGTTTTTCTTTTCGATGTGTACGTGATAGTCAGCCTTTAAAATAAACAATTACATTGGTGCGGACACCATGCCATTGAGTTATCACGACTCTTCTGTTTCAGTCCAAAACGTAAATCTTAAATGTATACGTTTATACAAAATAAAACCGGAATACGTTCAAAATGTGTCGATTGCCAAGTTCAAAAAATTGTAAAAGCATTATGCGTGGGCCACACAAATGGATCGAATCCACGACCTCCGATGCCGAAGCCAACACCTTGGCAACTGCGCCACGAACTCATCATCTCAATAATTAAGAACATCTTGAGAATACCAACCGATGGGAGCATCCTCTTTGATTTCGGCGTCGTATTTATCCGTATCGAAGACTGGCGCGTGGTTGTTCACGTCCCGTACTGTTATCTCGACGTTGCACGTCGCGTTGTGCACTCCGTCTGTTGCCTGAAGAAAATGGGTTAAAAAGAATACCATGTTTATCATTAAAAGTTTCATTATTATTGAACACTAGCGACCCGCTCCGGCTTCGGAGGGGTGCAATGTATTATACAAATAAACCTTCGTCTTGAATCACTCTATATAGTAAAAAAAACGCATCAAGATTCGTTGTGTAGTTTTAAAGATCTAAGCATACATCCCTATGTACAGACAGCAGGACGAATTTGTTTTATACTATGTAGTGATTATACGGGTAAAACATTTTCATCATCTCAGCATTTTTAACGCTGTATAAAACGTCATTACGTCTATTTAGGTTACCTTAAATGTTTAATATGTTCACAGAGCAAGATTATATCCTCTTTACAGCTATAAACGTACCGCGCAATACGTTTAACAACGGATAGTACATAAAGGTATATTAAGTGTCTGTATCATAGTCCATTAAGGCTCACTTTGCTGAGTTTATAACAAGGAAAACAACTGGTCCAGGATAAGCCCTGAGGGACGCTTGCGTATATTTCAGGTTCAGTATTATTTTTAACTTAAACCCGGTGTGGACCATTTAAATAAAGTATTTTATTTATCGATGTAACTTAAACTTAACTTGATATGTTAAAACACTTACCAATATCGTGAGCACAATACGATTTTCTCCTGTAGCGTTGACGGAACCAATCTCCCCTCGGACTGATATCTTGCCCGTTTGCGGATCTATCCAGAAGGGGTTGCGCGGCGGGTATATGATCGAGTAGCGGATGTCAGAAGACACGTCCGCGTCACGAGCTTGAACCTGGGACGGGAAATTTGTCATTACATTCATCAACCTTCATTGGAATTAATAATTAATTGGGTTCTAGAGTCTCCACTTTATTAAAAGTAGCAACGTATCTTCAACCCTACTGGTTTTGTGAATGTACGTGGGCGGCAGTTATCAATTAAACCATGTGAACTATCAGTTCTCTTGCCACTTCCTCACATAAAGCGCTTTAGGGCATGGACTATGCAGATCATGCTTTTACTACGCGATATTAGTTCAGAGTAGATTCAGAAATCAGTTTTTTCTTACACTAATGTAATAAGGTCTAATTAACTTAATTAACATTGACAAGCAAGTTGTTTTGTTTTGTTTGTAAGTGTTTTCGATGGAGGCATTACACTAAAACGGCACGGATCATTGAGGCCTATGTTCAACAGTAGCAAGTTCCTCATAAAAAAGGCTAACAGGCTAAAACTGAATGGGTGAATGAATGATACGGAAATCCACCATTCACCAGCGAAGTTGAATGCGTAATGAGGCGTCGTACAGGTCTTGTAGGTCGCATTAGTCGTCGGGACCTCCGCACATACCTGCAGCTCGGGCTCGAACTTGAGGGCGTCCTCGTCGATGGAGGCCTTGTAGACGGGCGTGAGGAACAGCGGCGGGTTGTCGTTGGAGTCGTCCAGGGAGATCTGCAGAGGGGCGGCCGTGGCCTGGCCGGCGCCGTCCTCGTCCGTCGCCTGCCACCACACGGTCGAACGTTAGCGACGTCAGACATCCGGCAGGCATCTGGCTCGCCACGAGGTGAACCCTCGCTCAGTATCCGTCCCATTGAGGAGCATTGAGAAATATGTAACACGACCTTCGCGCTGATGACTCGGTGCCGCAAGCGACAATCGGGTCTCGATGCCGGGTTCGGTTTTCGGTTCGGTGTTCGTTTGGCCTCGACTCCCACAGGGAAAGTGTTTCCGAAAACAGGAAAATTTTTCCAGACCATTGATAACTGTTCAAGCCCGTCGGTCGATCGTAGCAAAGAGTTAACCAATACGATCAACAAAATGATTCACATGTGTGGGACCACATCCTAATTAGGATGAGATCCCGAGTTAGGAATACTCCAATAGCGCACGATGTTGGTGAAAGAGAAATGTGAATTTATGGGTGAGAGCTGATACCTTGTACTGGAGGAAGTAGTCCTTCCTGGTCTCGTAGTCCAGGCAGGGCGAGCGTCCCGGGGTGGCGCATTCCGCCACCGTGATCACCCCACTCCTGTTGTCCACGTGGAATAGCTCCGACCCGCTGCCCGACAGCTCGTAGACGATGCCCTCGGTGCCAAACCTGGGGGAGTTGCACACTACCGACATTCTGCCTTAATACCGTATGAACCGAGGCGTTTACCCAGCAGTGGGAATTGCATGAACTGTCACAGCAAATGACCTTCTGATGTTAGCGTCCGAAGCCGATTCTGGAGGAGCTGCGGAGCTGAACGTGAAGACGTCCGGAGCCCCGATTTTAGAGTAACCGCGGCAGTTTACCCGGGACTTGTGTAGGCTGTCACAGGAACCAACCGCCCGATGTCGGGGGCGAAGCCCTGATTTTAGTGGAATCGGGGAACCGACCTTCTGGTGTCGGTGTCCTGAGGAATTAGGGCAGTTTACCCAGCAGTGGGGCATGTATAGCCTGTCACAGTAACCGACCTTCCGATGTAGACGTCTGAAGCCCTGACTTAGAGCACACGAGGAACCGACCTTCCGATGTCGGCGTCGGAAGCCCCGACTTTTAGGAACTGAAGAACCGACCTGCCAATGTGGACCTTTTTTTTTTTTATGCGAAAAGTTGTCAAACGAGCAGACGGTTCACCTGATGTTAAGTGAATACCGCCGCCCATGGACATCTGACTTAGAGGGTTACAGATGCGTTGACAACCTTTTGAAAATTGGGCTCCGGCTACCTCACTGACCAGACGAAACGCGAAAGTATTTGTCATACTTCCACTTTACGATGGTCTTCTGTGAGGTCCTGGTACTTACCCGGACGGGCCTGCCCATTCGTGCAACAGCCGAGGCTGCTGCGTGGCCCTACCACCCTAAAAGCTACGTCTGAAGCCTTAACTTTAAGAGTTGGGAAACCGACGTTCCAATGTCGGAGTTCGAAACCGCGATTTCAAACTAACTGTGGAGTCGATCTTTCGACGTGGACATCCTAAGCCCTGGGAGCTGGGAACCCACCTGCCGGTGTCCGCGTCTGAAGCCCTAATCGCGGCCACCCTGGCGCCGTGGGGCGCCGCCTCCGCCACGGAGGCCGCGTAGGGCTCCGCCGCGAACTGCGGCCGGTTGTCGTTCACGTCGCGCAGCGACACCGTCACGCTCGCCTTCGAGCGCAGCTTGGGCGAGGTGTGCACCTCCTCCGCTATCACCTGGCAATGGTACAACCCTCATGGTCACAAGAGTCTGCACCTTCATAATAGATAACGTAACGAGGAATGCTCCTTGCGTCTGTCCGCTTTTTAGGTTTCTCTCATATTGTGACAATCACCATCAGCCGGCTTATTCGTCTGCGCTGTCACCTAGGTTGAGATTCCCTCTTCGCCCAATCGCTGCTCCACCCATAACCCTCAAGTTCTCTTAAGTCTTCACTTTCACTCTAGATAATAATCATCAACCTCGTGCCCTTATCCACATAGATGAAGTCAGCACAACACGTGAATCATGTTGTAAGCGGTTTTGGCAAGATTTTATACAACTGGCCACCTACATGATGTGAATTGAACCCACGACCACCGACGGCGAAGCCAATAGCTTAGCAACGGTAGTGATGCCGTACCGTCATCTACTAGATTGATATAATGAGAAATGGTTGAAACCCTTGATGGTTACCATCAAGAGAGCGGCAGATTTACCGGATTCTCCATAGACGAGAACATGTAAAAACTGCACATTTTCAATAAAATGAATTAACACATTACACAATTGCGTCTTCTATTTGAAACATCCGGGGAACAGTTCTTCTGTGAGGTGATGGTATTTACACGAACGAACCTGCCCATTCGTGATGACATGAAAAATTGCCCCTTTCGCCAATTCTCACCTCCAGGATGAACTTCCTCTGGTTGGGATCCTCGTAGTCCAGGGTGGTGTTCAGCCGGAGGGTGACCGTGGCGCTGCCGGTGGCCACCGCGGGCTCCACCACAAACGCCCCCATCTCGTCGGACAGGCGCAGGGCGAAGACGGAATTTAGACCCTACGCACGAACAAATAAAAATTGATTTTGAACATCCACGTCGTTAGACCTCCAAGTTCCTACTTAAAATATAAAATAGAACGACACTGCTTACGAATAGTTTGAAATTTTCTTAATAAGATAATTAATTTCAATAAGAAATATTTATCAGCTCATACTTTCCTATAATTTCACGTGAAAATCCTAACTGCGGCCGCCGAGTTCCATATCTATATGAATGTAAATATATATCTAATAACGATAACAACCACACTGAAAAAAAAACCGGCCAAGTGCGAGTCGGACTCGCGCACGAAGGGTTCCGTACCATTATCTATAAAACTACAAAAAAAATCATGTCTCTTATATGGGAGCTCCAATTAAATATTTTTTATTCTGTTTTTTAGTATTTGTTGTTACAGCGACAACAGAAGTACATCAAAATTTTCAACTGTCGTAACAGTTCAGTAGATACAGCTTGGTGACAGACGGAAAGACGGACAGCAGTGTTAGTAATAGGGTCCCGTTTTACCAGTTGGACACGGAACCATAAAAAAAATAACACTCATTAAAATCGTTATAACATGCATGTGTATTTAAAAACTTAAGTTTAAATTTGGATCTGAAGATCCCACAACTCTTATCTCTAACAAATTTCAAGGGTCGCTCACCACATCGGTATCGGTGACCACCATGTCCAGATTGGGGAGCGGCGTCCCCACGGGCAGGCTCTCCGGTATCACCACGTGGTACTCCCTGCGGTCGAAGCGCGGCGGCTCGTCGTTCACGTCCTTGATGGTCACCGTCACCGTCGCCGCCGTCGACGTGAGGTCGGACACCAGCGGCACGCCGTTCACGATCTCGGTCGCCTGGAAGTTGTCACGGATACGATAGACATAGCTCAGAATGTTGGCAAGCCGAAGTGGCGATGGGCCCGCCATGTAGCTCGTAGAACTGATAACATATAGGGAAGAAAGGTTCTCGAGTGGCAGCCTCGTACTGGCCATCGCGGTGTGGGATCCCCACTGGATGAAGTGGCGACCTGTGCGAGTGTGCGGGAAGTCGATGGATGCAGGTGGATCGTGCTTCGTAGCAGTCTGTGGGGGAGGCCTATGTTCAGCAGTGGACTCAAACAGGCTGAAATGATGATGATGATGAAAGCGCAGATATTAAAACAAAAGAACTAAAATAACCATCATCATCATAAGGCAACCCCCCCCCCCCCCCTACGAACAATGCACGAAAAGTTTCTAGCCGCTGCGGGAAACGAACTCACGTCTTCGGGTTTCGCGCCCAGACGCTTTAACCACTAAGCTAAACGGCTGGTTGCCACATCGACCGAAATCTCTACGTATTTAATCTACATTGCTCTTTTGCACTTTAAGTAATGACGATATGAAATATAAAATACTAAAGCATAGCTTTTAGAACTATAAAACTAACATATGCCTTTTAGTGAAGTTTGGGCAGATATTAGTATTTGCAACTTAGCAGTTAGATTTGCCTAATGTCAAGAGAATAGGAAGAAATTTCTACCTTAGCAATAATGCACAATTCACTTTATTTACCGTATTATCCTTTTGTGTATTTCCTTGTGTGCAATAAAGTATATTCTATTCTATTGTGAACTATTTAATGTAAATGTTCTCTTACCCGAACAGTGAGGTTCAACGGTGAGTTGGGGTCGGCCAGCGCTTCCCTGTCCAGCGGCTTGGCGGTCTTCAGTTCGCCGGTGCTGCTGTCCAGCCAGAAGAAATCCAAGGGATCTACAAAAGATGTACTTGGACATGAGACTGTACGACGGTGAGTACTAAGACTGTACACGAAGTCTGCCAAATGAAAATTTCAGATTGGATTTACGCTTACCACCACACAAAGCGTCTTATTCTCTTCTTATCTTCTCTTCTTATCTTATTTAAAATATTTGAAATAAATAAAAAAAATGCAAACGGTTTTTAATTTATTACAAAGAGGCGTTCGCTAGAACATGTAGTAATGAGGAAGGTCACAAATGGCTAGCGTGGAGACTATTTAGAAACGTTTTCAAAGACTTCACTCTTCTCATGTTTACATTTTAAGATATACTTTGTTTATCGGTGCTATTAAGAGGGGTCATTAAAAGTCAGTCAGTCAACACATGATCATACTTTAAGGCACATACTATTAAACATTTCCAAATATACACATCGCAAAATGCCATTATTTATACAAGATCTATGATTCCAGACAAATGCTGTGGACAAGTGCTAGATGCAGTTTCTAGGACCGTAAGGCAGTCATTGGGACAAAGTTTCTGATATGGACCGTTAGGCAGTCATTAGGATAAAGTTTCTCATATGGACCGTTAGGCAGTCATTAGGACAAAGTTTCTGATATGGACCGTTAGGCAGTCATTAGGACAAAGTTTCTGATATGGACCGTTAGGCAGTCACTAGGACAGTTTCTGATATAGACCGTTAGGCAGTCATTGGGACAAAGTTTCTGATATGGACCGTTAGGCAGTCATTAGGACAAAGTTTCTGATATGGACCGTTAGGCAGTCACTAGGACAGTTTCTGATATAGACCGTTAGGCAGTCATTAGGAAAAAGTTTCGGATATATCACTCGGCAATTCTATGCGTAAGGGTCACAAAAGCAGGCGCTAGGACAACATTTAGACGTACTAGTCAGCAGTTCTAGCCGCACCGGCCTCGGCTGCGCCCTGTCAGCGTCGCGCGCCTTCACCGTCAGCACCAGGGTCCCGACCGGGGCATCTTCGGGCAATGCCCCGCTCAGAGCGCCACTGAACACGGGAGCGGTGTTCTGGACATCCGCCACCTTCACTTCGATAGGCACTGTGGAGTTTAAGGCGCCGTCCTGCGGGCAATGGGCGAATGGTAAATCAGGAAATAGAAAAAGCAAGTAAGACAGTCATGGTCTAAGGAGACGGGTTCGAATTCTAGGGACTTCCATCCACTATTATAAGACGGAATAATGTGTTTCGCAGCTATAAAGCAGGGATAGTCTAAGGGTTTAGGTTCAAAGTCGAGGGGAGTACACACTTCAGGCGATAGCGGCTTTTCATAAAAACTTCCATCTGCCAAAAGGGAATAATATAAATATATGTATTTCAAGAATTATTGACGATTTATACAGACCCTACGGAGCAGCATCATGCTCTTGCCATTATCCCCCCTATGTCGGGTCGGCAGAACATTTTGTCAATGTTTTTGGCTAGAATTTTAGACCAGCCTCCCTTCGACGTCAACCCTCCTTGGGAACAAACACCCAGATCCTCTTGCCCTGTATGGGAATCGGACCCACGACCCCCGGTGTTATCGCCAATAACTTAGCAACTGCGTCAACGAATCAGATCAAGATTGGCATGACCCTGGACGGCGTATGACGTCAATCTGTATACCCCGTCGAGGTTGAGGACTTGTGTACGTTAAAGGGTAGCTTACCGTCGCATACAACTGGAACTGGTAGAACTGGTTCTCGTTGTAGTCCAGTTTCTTCTTGAGGACCAGCGCGCCCGTGTACTGGTTGGCCGTGGAGTGAAGGGTCACCACTTCGAATATATCGCAAGCATCTGGCCACTAGTTATTAAAAAAAAGTAAAAGTAAAGTAACCTATACATTTCCCACTGCTGGGCTAAGGCCTCCTCTATACAGGGGGTATCAGGGCATAGTCCAACACGCGGCCCCACTGCGGATTGGCAGACTTCACATATTTTCGAAATATATTTTTTTTTGTTATTATTTCGAAAATATGCAGGTTTCCTCACGATGTTTTCCTTCACCGCGGAGCACGTGATAAGTCAGCACTTAAAGTTAAAAACTTCATTGGTGCCGGCACCGGGGATCGAACGCAGGTTGCTCGAGTATATTGAATTAAAGGCGAGCGCCCGGACACTGAGCTATCACGGCTCTTTTTTATTAAAAGCAAACATTTAAATATAAGCATACGTCGAATACAGTAGAATTTTACGAGTTTAGTTTAACTAGGTGATACCCACAACTCCGTCTGCGTCTCTTATTACCGTAACAACTGCACCGTTTGCCCCAATTCTCTATGGCAACACTTATCACTGATCACGTAGTACTAAAACATTGTTTAGAAATTTAAATTTTTTATAGTGCTAATCTCTGCACTTTAGATTAAACATAATTTTTTTTTTAGAAAAGTTGTAACTACGGGTTTAAGCATCACTTTCACCTGATCACTCGGCACACATCCCACTTCGAGGCTGTCGCCAACAGAATCGTGGTCTTCCACCTCGATGTTCTTCAGGATAGTGGTTCCAACGGCCTCGTCCTCTGGCACGTCGACTTCGTAAGGGCTCTGGAAGTTAGAATAGGAATCAGTCAACAATCGCACTGCGTAATACACTTACGAACATTACAAAGGTCCAAATGATGGTAGCGAGGCATTCCAACTGCCGCGGTACTAATAGCCCATTATGATGCTTCAAACGGCAGCGTAATGTCTATGTCAATGGAATCGATTGATACTAAATGTGGAAACCCACACCACCCACAATAGACCCTGGGCCCTATCGAACACCACGTGGCAACACTGACATAAATCCTAAACACTATTTCTCTTCCTCCTAGCAGCAAATTTTCTAGAGATCGCCAAAGATATTAAAAAGGTCCATTTCCGCTTTTACAGCTTTTCGGAGGCCTTACACTATATAGCTGCAAATGTAACCAACAACGAATGCTTCCATATTCAATAAAGATATTAGAATTAGTATTGAATTTCAAAATGTGCGTAACTAATATATAACTTCTGACCAGTTACTACTACTGTGCGTGGAATTTGTACTCGTAATCATTTACTCACGTTTTTAAATATAGGCGGGTTGTCGTTTTCATCTATGACGATTACGGTCATCGGTTGGGTCTGCGTCAGGTTAAGAGCGCCTTCCGGATCCTGGTCCTCTATGGACACCAGGAACTTTATAGTGTCCTCTCTCTGCAATTTGAAAAGGACGGTAACGAGTGAGCGTGAGAGGTGATCGAACTTGTAGTTATCACCGACTTGGGTTGAACAATATTTGTATCTTAGCAAATTTTGATAATAATTTTTTTTATATACTGACAGTGACAAGTCAAAATTTTACATGTACATTTCAGATTATAGATAAAAAAGGTGGCTGGTTGAAAAGTTATTGTAAAATATATACTTTTATATACTTACTTAATATAATGACATAATTAATTACAAATTAGAATGTCTATCATCATCAGTGATAAATAACAGGAGATATTTTGTAAAAGACTCACTTCTCTGTCAAGGGGCTGTATTAATGTAATATCTCCAGTTTCGGGGTTCACTGAGAACTTATCCGTTCCAACAAGTCCGTATTTTATCTGAAATGAAAACATCGACGTTAGCAATTATTTATATATATAAAGGTGATAGAGCAGTATAGAAGTAGTGACATTGTAAATATACAGCGTGTCGTTACAACCGCGACAATAAATGAACACACGTCTAACGCTACTTGCCAATAATCATAAAAAAAATATAAAACGTTAAAAAAATCCATAATTAAAAAAATATATTTTTAAAACTAACTAATTAAATAAAAATAAACAAAATTTTTAACATCATATACAACTGACTGACATTTTCATTCGTTGCCACAACGTAGCATTACAAGCCTCTCCTTCTAACAGTATGTTTTGTCTCTTTTGAATTCATTCAACCCATTCATATGCTTTATACGTAAGGGTGTTCTAAAATTGTTTGTTTTGTAAAATTTAATAACTCAATAAATATTGATGTTTAAAGAATGTAAATGCTTAATACGATTTTAAAAGTTCTCCTCTATATATGTGTGTTCATTTATTGTTGCGATTGTAACGACACGCTGTATATGAAACATATTTACAATTCATTTAATAACCATTATTTTTATTTCCGCATAAAATTAAGTGACCCTTGAAAGTAGTGTTTTTTTAATCTTAGGAGATGGTAGCAAAACAAAATCAATTGATAAAAGATCAGTGTGTTCATTAAGATACGTGGGGGAAATCGATGGATGCAGGTGGCTCGGGATCGTGCTTCGTGATGGAATGTGGGGGACACAGACAGGATGAAATGATGGTGATGATGATGGTAATGATAATGAATTCCGTTCATTCTGCCATACGTGCCTTGCGTCTTTTTAAGAGCAACATAGTTTTAAGTTGATTCGAAAGCCGCGTCTGCAATAGCTATGCAATAACTCACCGGAAAACCTTCGGGGTCGGTCCCTTGCAACGTGTACACTACCCTGCCCACCGGTGTGCTCTCCGACAGCGCCAAGTTGTCCGTGTCCTGTGTGAAAACCGGTAGCATGTTCGAAGATCCTAGAAAGAATTTATATCTCTAAACACCAGTAATGACGTATTCTTTCCCGTGGGGTTTGCATCGCATCGTTGTGCAGTATTTTTCAGATATGCACACGGAAAAACTCCCTGACAAAATTGTCACCTGTCTCACTTTTATTTATTGTAGTTAATGAAGTGGATTCACAGTTGGTATTGGCCAACTCCATCTCATGTCCATGCTTGTTCTTATTCTTATCATTTAGCAAACAAACTTACCAGAAAAACCTGGCAAAAAAAAAGAGTGATGAGGGTACTTATTGTACCATATGATAATGATGTGGATGTACTCGAAAGCCACACTCGGAATAGTAAACAAAATAATGTTAACTTAGACAAAGAGACAAATAATCGAAAAGGTGATACCGTGAAGTAACTACCTTAATTGTGAATGATTTGAGAAGACAACTAAAGTTACAGAACTTCGCACGGTCCATAACAATCATCTTTTAATGGAACAAGGTTTATCTTCCACTAGATATATCACCTGCACCTCTATTGTTCCGAGAGGACAGATCTCGTTAGCACGACAAGTTTTCAGTTACACACGTGACGAGACAAAATGCTACCCTTATTAATGAATGTCTTTTCATCATAGAAACCGTAAATTTTCGTCGGCTTTCTGCATAAAGCATATTGCAAAATTAGCCGAGTGTTGGCTATGTGCCACTGAGCCTGGACCTTTTGTATATCAATTAGTGGCTGGTCTGTTGCTGTCGAGGTCTATCTACTAAAAACAGTACAATGTCTTTCCCAGCTAGTAGTGAAAACGCAGAGCTCGCTTCCACACTTCGTTATACTCGAAACGCCCAACCCGCGTTGTTTGGACTGGAAAATTGGATGTAATGAAAGCTAATATAGCTAATTGCGAACACCGCTATTTCTCGAAACAGGGCTTCGATTGTGCGCCCATTGAATTATTCATTTCGCTTTCACTTCGAAAATATCAGTTGAGGGCAACCGCACCTGCCGTGGAGAGTTGATACGTGGTTTTTTATATAAGCCCAAGCCTGAGCGGTAAAATAAGTTATTGGTGTGCCTCAAAGAAAAACCAATCGGCGAGAGTTGGACGTACTTATATCGGCTGCAGTGCGATCGGTGACACCTTTCGCGATACAATAGAAATCACTTTTAACCGATTTCAAAAAAGGAGGAGGAGGATTTGGGAAATTGTTTCGGTTGTTTCAAAGGGCTATTTTTATATTACATATTATGCGATTTATTACATAAATTTTATCAAAAAATCGATCTAGTGGTTGTAAAAAAATCATCTATAACTTATTCGTTTGTTACCTCGGTACCAGGTCATTCGTGAACCGATAATTTTTTTTTTTGCGTTGGATTAAATTCAATTGTAGTCCCATATTAATTTCATCGATAGTGATTGACTGATTGACCTTGAACTTTGCAGATTCATCAGAAAACACCTCCAAATCATATAGAAAATGTATAGTGAGATATTTGAATTCGGTTTTGTTTTTTGTTAATAAAAATGTACTTTTATAGTTTGCTCTCACCTGTGCCGAAGCATAGTGCAGTGTACAGGACTATGCAATGCCACCGCCTCGTCATGGTGATGGCTCTGAAACAACAAATAGATGTTTTATTTTAAGGAAAAAACAAGTCTTTATGTAGAGGTACTGTCTCTACATAAAGACAGAAGGAAATTCAGTGCTAAGATAAATGTTACATTGATAACAATCATTACAACATATTTTTGAAAGCGGAGGGAAAGCGATATAGAATCCCTTAGACAGTTTCAACAGTGGATTAACTTTTTCCTACGTATGTTATATGCTTCGGACGAAAAATGTGGTTGTATAAATAACCAATTATGTATATATTTAGCAAGCGCGACGATTTGAGGACGACTTTTACGCGCGATTTACATTGACGAAATGATATATAAACTTTTCTGACAAGTATGTCACAGAAGTTCACCCGACTGCTGAAAGAATGTTATATTTTTTTCTTTCTTTTTTTTTATTTATTTCCACCTATTTTTGAAACTCTTTATAGCTTAACATTTTGTCACTAGATACTTCTATTGACAAAACCTTATTCTTCTTTCAATATGTCTCTGCTTTTATTTTTATTTCAATGTATGTGTCCGTGAAATATTTAGTATTTTTATTGCATTCGGGTTTTTTGTTTCGTTTAACAATTCATTCTTGTTTTCCCTCTCTATATCGTTCTCTCTTTGGTGTAATTTTTTAGTATTTAATTTCAAAAGCAAATCCCAGATTAATTTCAAGAAGTGATTAATTTTCAACTGTGGTTACTACTGCAGGTACAACTACGCAGGCATTAATGATCCGGTAAATGGGTCGATTAAATTGACCCGGCCTTGTACCTCAAGGCATAACCAAGGAACCGTTAAATCACCCTAATTAAATGATTGGCTACAGTGATCCATTTAGTTAGACCTTGTCTTAAAAGCGTTCATTGACAAATGGACTAATCCCTCGCCCAGGGCGAATCGGAGAGATGATGAAGACTTCTCATATCAATTTTATAACTTTCAATTTTAGAAGTTAAGCTATGTGCTTCGGCACCGGGGATCATGAATTATATTTACACAGGGGACAAGTATTTGTGACTTACAGATAATGGTTCTGGATCTAGGAGAACTTTACTCAAGGACCGTAGACGCAGGGTAGGTCGTAAAAAACGAAAAAAATCTTAATTACTAGTATATATAAAGGACCAAAGAAGTTCTAGTATTCGTGCTGTGACATTGTCTTTTAAAATGATCAACTCTTGTAAACGTCTATTCGTTATTGTGCTCTTGTATTTTTTTTTATTTATCAGTTGAAGTGCAAATCTTCCTACTAGTTTACTATATTAAATGTCCTGTTAAATACATCACCAGACTTAAAAAAAGCGCTTTACGATATCTCGAATTGCTTGTCAAATTTAAAATTATTTAAATATATACATTTTTCCACAAGTCTTTTTACTATGTTACAAACGATTAGTTTTCTGTTAATTAATTAACGTTAATTGACGTTATACCTTGATATAACGTTAATTTATACGAAAAAATATGCAAAAAAATATGGTGTCTATAATGGTTCTTCTTTGTCTTTTTATCAATGGCTTGCTTTGCTTTGTTCTTAGCTTCTCGATTTTATCATATTCACATTAAAATTTTAATAGGCAATTAAATACTCAAAATTCCATAACTTCACACAATGATTTAAAATTTTCGATGCAAAAAATCGTCTAAAATGGTCTAAATGGTGACAAAAAATAGGTTTTAAATAATGTCCCTTCAGTGATGTTTTCTCTTTTCTTAAATAATGAAAATAGAAAATGATTAAAATCGATTCAATAGCAAATAAGATTAGCATAAAACTTTTAGTTGCAGACAATGGACATAGTACATACATTGTTCTATTCTTTAGTGTGTAGTATGTGCAAAGCTCGACCTTAATTATTTTCATTGTAGATTTAGATGAAACAAAACATGAGAAACGCCTTGACACTATACCTTAGGGTTAATCTCAAGCATTGTTGACTCGGTGCTGCAAGACAATCCAATGGCGCAAAATCCCAGATTCGGTACCGATTAATTAGGTTTTAATTAATGGACGTCCACTTCGTATTGCGACATGACTTGGCCAAATTCAAGGGAAACTTCCTCGTTAACCATCGCTATATTATAGTATTATTTTTTATATTTTATTTTCATTTATTAATTTTCATGATAATTAGAATAATAGCCTTGCAATAACAGTTGCAGTATACAACTTAACTCGCCCTACTTAACAGCCAGAGCTTTTAGGAAGTCATTTTTTCCCTTTTCAAGCCGCGAAATATAATGTTGCTTGATATGTCAATGCCAAGGTTTTCAATCGAGGTTGCGGCAACAACACATGGTTTCTTTTCACCAATGATGTACTTACGGTGGTAGGGCCACACAGCAGCCGCGGCTGTTGTACGAATGGGCAGGCTCGTCCGGATAAGTACCACTACCTCACAGAAAACCGGCGTGAATTGGAAGTATAATACTTTTGCGTTTCGTCTGGTGAGTAAGGTGGCTGGAGCCCAAAAGGTTGTCAACGCATCTGGAACACTCGGGTGTAGCAGATGTCCATGGGCTTATTCACTTAACAGCAGGTGAACCGTCTGCTCGCTTGGCAACTTTTCACATAAAAAAAATGAATTCGCAAACCTATGTCTTCACAGTGTTAAATTAGTCGTTTAGCCAGTAGTTTAACGAAATCCCAACTTCTTATACAAGTCTATTCCGGCACACGACCTGTTTCTGAGAAATAGTTATCTAGACGATCTATACGACATTACCTATACTTTAGAAATAGCAATGTAAAACAATCTAGTCATTGATTTCAAGAAACAGGATAGGGGATAGCCTTGTGGGATACCAGCGTCACAGGTTTAGCGATAAACCACGCACTGTTAACAACGACCCGCCGCAATAAATTAAATAAAATACCCACATAAAAGTAAACTTATGAAAATATACAATATTGTGTAATACTGTTACATAATGTGCTTATAAAATAATATTGATCACCCAGTGGAGCTTGTAAGTCGAATACATCTCACCACCCAAACCAGTTTTCAAATCTAGCTTCACTAGATTTGCATCTAAACGATGTTTAAAACCCGTGCTAGGTCAGTATCCGACTGCTGCCTTTAATTCACTATACTCCAATTCAAATCTCTCTGCCGGCACTAATAATAATTTAATAGAAATTATTATTGCTGATATACCGCGTGTGTTGATAATAAAAACAAAGATTTGGAAAATATATTTGCGAAACCACTTTTATGATTACGTGAGGGTCAGTAATGCCTCGTAATAACCCGCACTTACGGGGTAAGTATTGATTGAGTCGTACTTGCATCTGGACTCGCACTGGTTCGATTCCCGTAGTGGCGAAAAACTTTTCGCCCATTTGTTCTACAAATTTTAATAGAAGATCGCATATTAAATATTTTATGTAATTTTATTATGAAATAGATTCAGAAATCACTTTAGATAGCGGATTTGTGCACAATACAACCCGGGGACGAACCAGCCAAAACGATACATGAATTAGGTAGGTAGAATTCGAACACGAATTGAGCAAACATTTCTATATACGGCGGCGAAATTCGAACCGGATTTGCAGCAGTTTTCTAACATGATACACGCGACGCAAGCGTTCTCCGGCACTCGGTCAAGGTGACTACCGTCGCCCGAAACCAGTCGGCGTGTATCATACCACCACACATAGTGTCTGCCACCACCGAAGTCTGGGCGTGCTGATTTGCAGCTGCTTGCCAACAGCAAGTGTGCACGCCTGGCTGGAAAACAATAGTGTTTAGCTATTGTTTTTGATGCCAGGTGCGAATTAAATGGGGGTAATTTTGAATGTACAGCTCTTTCGCTTTAGACAATGCTTTGAACGATAAGCACGATTGACTTTCATTTTGCGTGTACACCGTTCTACAACATTTGTGCGATGAAAAGATTTATGTAGTAATAATAAAAAATGTTTTAAGACATGTTGAAGGAGTTATTGTTCCATAACATTTTAATCGACTGCCTAAAGAGGGTAAATGTATTCGAACGAATGTATGGCGAATGTATGTATACAGGCGCGCTTTGCAAACTAAACCTTTGAAATTTTAATATTTGAGCTTTAATAAGATTCTACTATTCTCTATGTCTTCAAATTATTTCAATATGTTATCGACGAAATAAAATAGTGTAAAATTTAGTGTTCTTAATACAGTCAGATATTTTCAATTTTGTTTCATTTGATAATTTATGTTTGTTTTGTATTAGTTATATTTTACGGTACTTGATTTAAGTGTGCCTTATTAGCCCTAAGTATAAATAAAAAGGATGATTACAAAGTCATAAATAAAATTTCATCCGTCGTTACTTGCAACGCTTACAGCTATCAAGATGACAGGATCCGTGCCGGGGATCGTTGGTTCGATTCCTACACGAAAAAAGTATTTGCGTGAGACAAAGATAATTGTTTCGAATCCTGGTGTTTGTCCACGTGAAATATATATGTATATAAAACATCCTTACAACATAGGATAATGTTATCCTACGGTGAGGAGGCAATGTCTTCCAAGGGAAGACTGCAATAGATCTTTCTACGTCGCATTGCTCATTGGAAGTTATTAGTTACTACCCCTTCTACACAATATACAAATCGGGTCATATAAGACATTTAAGACATATAAGACATCTAATCTGTACACAATGTTACATTTAGTTACAGTTTAAATTTAAAAAAAACGACAAAATAATGAATTAAAAAAAAATAAGATAAAAGTAATAAAAAAATTGTAGTGAAAGTAAAACAAAAATAAAAGGTATTCAGAAATCTTAAAGTAGTGACGGAAAGGACCGCCTCAGCATATGACGCGCAATATTGCGGCGCTGTTTTTCAGTCGGCCCAGGCGTCCGTAGCATAGATAAGACATTATACTGGTCCGTAGGCAACGGACGCGTCAGAGCAAGCGAGTAGTAATATTTTTCTTTATTACGTTAGGTATATCGTGTATTAAAGCCTATACAAGTAGTAAGCATAATACATATA